TATTGGATTTCTGTCTCTTTGGTACTTTCAATCGGAATTTTTTTTTTTTTTTTTTTAAATCACAACTGATTTTCAACTGGTTTCAGGGGGGTAATTTTAGTTTTCCAACGGGGACGCAAACATTTGAATCAGGTCAATGTTTCCCCACATCAAGCCAATCCTGTTTATTTTGCCGAACCAAACGAATTATATCCGCTCGCTTCGTAAGCTCGTATTCGTATTCCAGTATTACATTTTAATACTAAAATTTAAAATACAATATTTGTTTAACGCAACAGTAACATTGTTACTAAACTTTTCTCATTTCACCCCGATTTACTCTGCATGAATTTCGACGCGCACTGTTGTATTCTTGATTACATGTCAGTTTATTTAGCCATTGCAACAACCGTCACACGCTCACATCTCAGACGGCCGGACCCCGGTAGAGGCGGCAATGATTAGCTTTTTCATTTTACATTTTATCGACGGCGGCGTAATTATAACATGTTTTACGGGCCGAAAACGCGTTAGAATAATCGAGCCATGCTGCAGGGGTGTCCAACCTTTTGTGAAGACCGTGCCACACTATGTAAGTAGAAGTTGTTGTGGACCACATACATTTTAATTCCTAATAATAAATTTTATTAATGATTTTACCATAGCGTATAATACCATAGCGAGTAGAAATATTTTACAGAGAATTACAAATAATTACAAAGAAAACATATTTTTATTTTATAATTTAAAAAAAAAAACAATTTTAAAATAATGTTATTGTTATTTTAGTTACATTAGTTTCCTTATCGCTATCGGATCCTAATACAGATAAACATTTCATATAATAGTATATACTATTAATAAGTATCTTAAAATGTATTTAATTTTTAATGTTTCGTAGTTTTATATTCTTAAAAGTACATTTTTTCTCATAATATTATACATAATTAATTGATGAATTTGAAAATGAAGCGAGGGCCACATTAAAACCTATCGCGGACCACGGGTTGGACACCCCTTCACTGAAGTACAATGTCTGAATCCATCAGAGGCGTCATTTGAGGAAATCACGCCCCTGGCCGGTACAAGACTTGTATACAATAAAACAGTGAAACAGGGACATTGTTTAATTCCGTTCGTGTAATATTATCAATCGAATAAGAAACTAATTTTTCGCTGCAGCAGTTTGTCGTTTATTCGATAATCGTCGCGCCAAGATGAAACGATATGAAACACTAGCAATGATAACAATATTACGACAGCACGTTGGACAGAAAATCCGTTCTTATAACCCCGCTATACGTATTTACTCATTCGAACGTTCTCTAGACGTTCGTGTTTTCGACGGACCTTTTGAAAGAGAAAAAAATACGATCGTCCTTTCTGCACGTGTAATATTGTACACCCGGTTACATTTATTGCGGTCGTGATTCGCAGTTCTTTTTTACTCTCGGCGCGTTATTATTATGTTACCATTATTTTTAATGTACAAACACTCTAAAACGCGTGTTTGATTGGCGGGCGGCGCCGCGGCCCTGCGCAAACGCAACACACTCGCTTGCCTACCGTGCATCTTATTATCATTATGTTTGCTCACACACGGTTGACCGGATCAAAACGGCGAAAATCGCCCGTTTGAGCGGAATGGCATCTGTAATTCGGCAGTATCGCGTTTGACGATTCGTGCATTGTGCTACGCGATATCGGTCCGAACATCACAATAAAAACTGCCCGCCGCGCATTTCGCTGTGAAATATAATAAAATAAACTTGTATTTTATTATTACATTGTCATTTCGTTTTTATTAACAGACGTCTGCGGGCGCAGATGCGACGCCGCGTCGCAGTCCGCCGCAGTCGATTGTTTTCCCCCGCGGGACAATAGTCGCGCACGGCCGTTCGGTCGGCCGCACACAAATAACGTACCTTTACAAATCGAGCGATACGTGTTCAGGTGTGTGCGGAGAGGCGGCTCGTTTCGTTTGCTTTATTACGCATGCCTAAAAACGGTATGGGTAGCTGTACAAAGTCTATAATCCTCGCCGAAAAACCGTCGACCGACGACGTTTGGCTCGGACCCGAAACGATCACTTGCCCGAATTTCGCCAGGTTCACCGCGATTATCGTATTATGTTTCCACTTAAATTCTCGTCCTCGATTCGTGCGGTTTTGAGACACTTGTAATTTAAATTGTTGATACGAAAATCGCGTTGGCAAAATTTTTATATACATATACATACACAATATCGTTTTTTCATTTTTAACTACATCGATTTACTCGTAATTTACTTATGCGCCAGCGTGTCTACGCTTTTGTTTAGATGCCCGAAAGGGAAACGTGTAAATCCTCTATCGGTAAAAATGTTCACAACTTATGACGTATCACATGTGTAAGTTGTAACCGCCTGTTTAGAGTATTCTAAGGTGGGGGAGTAGACAAAAAAACGCACTCGGACATCATGAAACGTATTTCTGTTTTGAGAATCCATTCAATAGGACAATAATTCAAGTTAATAGTTGGTAAGTTGGAAAAATACAGGATTCAAAGAGTTATTTAATTTACGTTTGTACGCAACGATAAATCATTGCTAATGAAGTACGATTCTGAGTGGAATTCGCTGCGATATTTACGATAACCGTTAAAATTTGAATTTTAAACGCGTATAAAAAAAAAAAAAAAACCAGTATCCAAAATTATACGAAAAAAAAACTTGTCGCTTTCCGAGCACGATCGCTCGGTAGAAAAAAAATTGTTTACGGGTGGGCGAAAAAAAAAACGTTCATCGCAGTGTAAAACCGACGCGTCCCCCGCCGCGCTCAGAATCCAATACTCGAGCACGCTGAAACGTTCGTGTCTCGTTTTACGCTTTATTGTGCCGACGGACACTACCGCGCGAGCCGGACGTCCGCAGCGGAAAACCGTCGGCGGCGTGCGATTCTCGCGGGAGGAAATACCGTCCGTTTCAAATCCCAGCGCGTTTAAATGCGTACGACAATCGGCGGCGCCGTTGTAATTATAACATTATGACGGGCATATTGATATCCGCAATGCCGGTCTAGTCATCGAAGATGAGAACATCGCGAACGGACCCGGCGATAATTGATATCCCGTACGGTTCGAACGCACGTCGCACGCTCCGGATTTAATTCCGTTCGCTTACGGTACCCGCACCGTACGGCGCCCAACTGCACTCGGACCACGCGCCGGATATTAACAGGTCATTTATAACGTTCCGTACGCGCGTGTGTACAGGGCGATTACTGTGGTACGCGCGCTCTGTTTCGCTGTTTCCGTTCCTGATTCGACGTTTTACGCGCTGTTATACCGCACGTTTTAGACGACTGTATTCACTCGGAATTCCTATGTCAATATACTTGCGTCCATTCTTTCGTTCCTCTGCGCCTACGTCCTTTCGCAAGTTCGTCCGTTTATTCCGCATACGCGCTCGGACTACCTCGAACATTCCACGTAGGAATATTATTCGTCGTATTCCTCCTATACTCACCGTACGACCAAGTGACGAATGTTCGGCCAACAGGCTTGTCCCGTCAAAAAACAATCGATCAGGAAAGGTTCCTGATGTGAAACTATGTGCGATTTAGTAACAAATATTCTGGCTTTAAACACTTATTTCGCTTCAGTCAGAAAACGTTTTCGTAGACGTAACATAACGTAATTTCCGAATAATATTTTAGAGATAATCAAAACGGGAGGGCTGAACATCAGCCGGGAAAACGTATGGAAAAAGTGAACGGCGTGGAATAAGCTCTAGGAGTTGGAATAGTTGGACCAAATGTGTATAAGATATTTTTGCGATTGATAGCAAAGTGGCCGGAGGGTCGGTTGTGGTGGGATATGTAATCCCGGATTAAGACATTTAGAAGCCCCGGGGCCACAAACTTCTCAACGACGCTCTCGTTGAAAAACTAATATTTATAGTTTTTTTTTTACAGGTTTACTAATCAATATGTTTGAACAAAAGGCAAATAATAAATAGTATAGACGTCATAGACATTTCAATTCAAAAGCCACGAGTATTATTTATATAAATAAATACATTATTTTTAACAGTCACTAGTTTGTACAATAATAATAATACGAATAAGTCATCATCAGGCAACGGAAAAATATCAAAACGTCAAAGTACAAAGTTAACGGTTAAATGCTTACGTAAAAAAACATACCGTGGCAAAAACTTAGGCCCTGGGGTAGCCCAAGGGCTATGACCCTACCTGGACCCCCACATAATCCAGACTTGGAGACATGGAATTTCACGTTCATTCTAGTTCTAAAGGCCCAATATGGACAGCCTCAATCAGTATATAAATATAATCATGAACCTCGTTATATTTCCGTGTAAAAACGCGGAAAATCGACCGAGAAAAACAGAACATTCCGGTTTTTTTTTAAAGAATCACCCTGTATATACAATGTGTGTGTGTATGTGTGTATACATATATTGGCACGAGTGTATACAAAATGTTTTGTTAATAATAATCGTGGCGCGGGATAATTGACCCGTGACGATATTATTATACGTTGTTGTCGCGGTCCGGCCACAGTCGACTGCAAGTGCCGACGTGTGGAAAACGGTCGAAAAAACACATCAAACAATTATATATAAAAAAAAACCGTATACAAAAAAAAAAAAAAAAAAAAGGCTTTCACCGAATTATACTATATGATTATAACGAAATAGATTCTTTTTCTGTTTCTTATTATTATTTTTTTTTTTTAATTGTTTCGGTATGATGAGCTGATGCGTACATCATAATATTATACTCGGCGGATACGAATGCGCTCCGACGAAACCCGGGCTTATCGGGACGTTAAAATCACACGTTTTAATTTTTTCGTTTTTTTTTTTTTTTTTTTTTTTATAAACTTTATTAAAATACGTATATTTTATATTAATGATATCCCCTTCCCCTATACACGTACACGTCGGGACAGTTCCGTTTTCCGTTTACTGCATACGTCCGCTCACGACATTTTCGAGATTTTTATTTTATATTTTTAATAGCGCGTTCTAATCAGACACCATGATATTATGCAGTACCTATTTAGGCATTTTATTCGCCCCCCCCCCACACAATTTACGCGACATTTATGTAGAAACTGCAACAGGTGATTCCGCCGTTCGTGTTATTTTCGTTCGAAACAATAGGAAGACCGCTAGCTACTTTTTGTCTTGGAATTCAACCGTTAAAGGGTTATTGATTCTAGGTAGGAGGTTCTTTTTAAAATGAAAATGATGATTTTTTTTTTTGTCGATTTATAGGTTACCTTTGGTAACATGGATGGAAAAAACAGTTATTGTAATTTAAATCGATTATTACCGCAAGCAAGGAAGTGCTCTTGTTAAAATATTGATAATAATAGCATATTTGTCATACAACAAAAGTTGTACGCAGATAGTTGCATAAATGTATACGTATGACGAGCACCCAAAAATCAAAGCTCGTGACAGTAGGAGTTCGGTTCCTAAGGTAATGACTGGTTACACGAAACAACGCATGTACAGATAGATGCGTAAGCACGTTAAAAGATTAATTACCGGGTAATAATTGTGATAGAGTTAAGAGTGATCAGGGTTAAATCGATTTTTTTTTTATCGATTTGGGTTTTGAAAGGGTCTAGTGCGGGAAACGCCGGGTAATTCAGCTGGTATTACTGAGGCATTTCAAAACAAAAATAATATTTTGTTACGCCGAATATCGGGTATAGTTTACACGGTGGCGTAGAACGGGGTTAATAATTATTGTATGGCCGACTGTATAAAATAATACAAAAAGAGTTCGCTTATTTTCATTTTTTTTTTTTTTTTATTATTATTCTTGATTTTATATTGTATCGACGAAGCAACAAAATAATGTAATAATAATTATAATTTAATATTTCTTAAATCGTTATTTTTGTTTTTTTTTTTTTTTTTTACACTTAACAACAAACTGGACATAAATATCATTTACACCTTTATACTATAGAAATACTACACATAAACAACGCAAAACGTATCGAATAAACACAATATACACGAATATTACACGTACGCAATATTCGTGTACGATTATTAAGCATTTAGCATATTATAACATAACTCGTTTCTAAACGCAAAACACAAATAATAATTAGTTTTGTCTACATTTTTTTTTTTTTTTTTTTTTTTTTGTCGTACAATGTCACGATTATATAAAAGTACAATGTCGTACGCAAAGGTAAAGATAATAAAATTAAAACGGTTCAAATATACAATTATATCCCGTTTCATTAAAGTCTAAACGAAAATGTCTTAGGCGATGCTATATAGCAGGCAGCGGCAGTTTTCACGCCTCGTCCCGTCTCCTCTCGGCCACGTTTATCGGCGCGACCATTGTTTCCAAACCTGAAATCAAAATCGATATCGTACATTAGCATTTTCCACAATCTGTTAGACACACGGTGTGCGTTATTATCATACGTATATACGCACGCCCCTGAAATATAAAATACGCGAATTCGTTTTTTTCCCCGACAGGCGATATTAATAATAATAACGTTGTTTTAGCGCGTGCATACAATGCCATTATTATGATATTTAAACGGGCACGTCATCGCTGTATTAATATTAGTACATTATATTATTATTGTATACAACAGTTATTGGTTAGGTATAATAACGCTAATCACTGTTATTATCAAACGAATTACCGAGGGAAAAGTATAATTTATAACTCAACGTGTACACACACACACACGCGCAAAATATCGCATATTACGTGTGTGTAATGTTTAATTATGATTCGAACGTCGTCGTGGTGCGCGAGTGCGAGGAAACATTAAAATAATACGAACCGTTTTGGTACAGTTCGCAAAAATTGCAATGGTAAATAGCGAATTACCCACGTTTGGTGGTTTTTTTGTTTTTTTTTTTTCTCGAAGCTCTGTATAATTGACGTGCTAATTATTTTTATCGTTGACTGGATATTCACTAATATACAACTGTGTATATTATATATAATTTAATCGGCGTCGTAATTATTATCGTAATAAACTCGACTTTTTACAGTTAATTTCGGTAGACGCCGTCCGGTTATAATTCGACATCACGACCGAGTCTGGTATTTCGTTAATGTATACAAATAGGTAAATAACGGAGAAAAAAAACCGATCTCATCCAACGCAACGAGTTGACGAAATTTACTTTCAGAAAAAAAAAAAATGCTCAAAACGAAATTCGGAGCAAGATTTCTGGCTGAAAAACAAAATCGAAACCGCGGTTATTGCTGTAAATTCGCCCGAGTTTGCCCAACGTTATAAAGATAACCGCATCAATGCACCAACTAGATACATTTTGTTATCGTAAAAGATCTTACAGTTTAAAATCGGATTAGAGTTTCTGAAACAGATAATTTGTTTACAGGTCACAGACAAAACCACTCAAAAAACCGCGGCATGTTCCTCGTTGCGCCGAGAATCTAAAATCCACTCCAGTTGATCAGTTGCCGAGTTAAGTCGACATATTTCGCATTTGGATTATTATTAGCTTTTTTTTTTTTATTTATTCAATACTTAACTAAAGTCTCGTTTGACTAAGACACTTGACTAATCAATAAAAAAAAAAAAAAAAACTAAAAAACTAGACACTCGACTATTTTCATTCGTTTGCCCGCGTTAGATAATAACATTATTGTAACCTAAAAACACTGCACGGTGATCGGCGTGAACAACGCACAGTCGATATAATCGTACGGTGTTCTATTTCGTCAAGACTATAAAACACAATTGATCGCGCGCGATGCGAACGACGCGTCGCAATAACTCGGTGATAAAACAACGGCAACAATTAGTCTAACACGAAATAATAACAATAAAACGCGCGGACACTGTAATTTGTTTACAACAGCTGACAGTGGAAACGCGCGTACGCATTGCGAGCAAGTTTTAATAAATTTGACAGTAGCGTTTTGATTTTTTTTTTTTTTTTAACTGTCCGTCGACGGACATTATAGTCGTATCTCGGTCAATTAACCCGCCGAATCTCGGGTCACATCACGCCGCCGCCGTTACAATATTCGCCTAAGGACGCACTGCGCACGGGGCCGCCCGTTGTTGTCCGGCCGATCGAATAATGTCCGCGGGAAACGGAATAGAACACCCGGGTCGAATGGATCCGGCCGTTAAACACGAACACGAAGCGCGTGTACCGACGCCGGGACGGTGTCATTATTGTTCGGCGTTTCGCACGGAAATTCCCGCGGCGCGCGCGCGTCCCGGGCCGAACGGATAAAAAAACGCCGGTCGGCGGCTGTGGAATTACAGAAAGACAACAACAAAAAAAAAAAAGTAATCGTAAAAATAAACAACACCCGCGCTGTATAATAATATAAACGTCGCCGTAAACTAATAAGACGCGCTTTTTTTTTGTTTTTTTTTTTTCTATATACATAGCGATTGGCGTGTGCGGTGCGCGTGCGCACAATACAATTCGATATTTGTGCACGGAGGTCAGAAAACACGGGTCCCGTGTTGATACTGCACGGAACGCGGCGACGCCGTCACGTCGTTCGTATTGCATCATCTGTAACGCCGTGTAAATTCGACGGGCGCAACAGCTAATGTTTTTGGATTATGGTTGTTTTTTTCTATTTTTTTTTCTCCCCCCCTCCCCGGTTCTTTCTCGTTCTTCTTTATACCCTTGAAACACCGCCAGCGCGACCCGCGGCGCGCGGCGAGGTCACCCGAACGGGAAACCGGATCGTGTAGTTTTAATGACCGAAAATAAATAGTGTTATTTTTATTAATTTATCGTCGAGAATACGATAATAATATTGAAAAAAAAAAAATATACACACACACACATTTATATATATATACATAGTCAATTAAGCGATTTCGAATTTATTAACCTCGGGCCGGGGATTATTTGCACAAATAATCGTCTTCAAACAGGTCGGACTCGCGCCCCAAAAGACGATTCGACATAACGGTTTATTGCAATAAACTATCGTTGCTGTTTTTCTTTCGGAGGACCGAAGCGATGACGTGTTTTGTATAATATTATAATATACATATATTTATATATATACGTGTAATATTTATCGATTTTGAATAGAATTCCGCCAACATTTCGAAACCATTGACGGGTTGTTATGAAAATACATGAAATTATTCAAACAGTTAGTTACATTATTAAAACGTTATATTATGATATAATTTTCAAACTGTGCGATGAAAAAAAAAAAATACGAACAACAAAAATAATTAGAATTAGAGGTTTTCAGAGGAGATATTACGATGGCGCGTGAAGAAGACGAAGAAATGGAATAAGGAGTAAGGGACGAGAGGTATTTGCTTTGGTATAATTGATAAAATGACAGCGAGTGTTTGAATGTGTGTGTGAGAGAGAGAGAGAGAGAGAGAGTACACCGAGGTGGTTTGGAAATGACACGACTAGAATAAATGAGTCAGAAGAAGAACTCGTTTCTCCTCTCAGCATCTCAATAAATTTTTACTGCCGACTCCTGCAGAATTTCAAAATCTTATCCAACCCGGTTATACCACAAATCCTAAATTTCTGATAGACACTTCCATTTGGATGTTTTCATATCTTTCGTAAAACGTATCCAATACTCGGACCCGTCGCTATCAAAACGTTTTTGATGTACACGGAAAAAAAGAAACCACCATTTCACTCGTATCCTTTAAAAATGCCCGTCACAACCGCCGCACACCCGCTACACCTAATCCTGCCACGTCGCCGCTGTGTATCACCTTGTCCGTTCTCTCGCACCATTGCCGGATCTATAACGACGATGTACTCGGAATTTTTCTATTAGATTTATCACAGTTTTGCTTCGGACACTGTCCGCGGACGCAATAATAAGGTTAGTGCGGTTAGTACCCTGTAACGTTCGTACAGCATACGCCGCGGTGCCGTTAAGAAAACAGATAACATACGGTGTGCACGACGTATAGCGGACACACGTACGAGCTCGACGGTCGTAAACTCGGCAAGTACAACAACAACAACAGTAATAATATTCCGTGTCGTTTTTATTATTATTATTTTATTATTATTTTTTTTTTTTTTTTACACGGCGTGCGTTGCCCCCGCCCGCGCGCGCATGACAGCCGACCACCAATGCACACGATGGCAGCAGACAACTCGGCGCGCCGCTATACCGTACACGGCATTCCATCCGACTACACGGTACAACACGGAACATAGGCGTACACAATGCTATGGAAATCGCCCGTCTCGTACACAGACACGTGTGGTATTAATAACTCGTGTTGCACGGCCGTCGTCACTGGCGTACTCGAGACGTGACCTACTCGGTTGCAGGAGTTTCACTGGGAAACATTACCGACCCGTTGTTGGTCCCGATCGGTTCGTTCCCTAAACGTGAAATACGTGCTCGATACCTACGTAGCCGATGAAAAGCCACCACGGGCCCGGATAAAGTCTACAGAGTGTAAACGGAAAAACTCAACCAAATCGGATATTGCCGCTGGGAACGTTAGCCGAGTCGGTGTCCTTAGCCAACGAAAACTCACTACTAGTTGCGTATCTATACACACCGTTCGGGCCGATCTTGGACAGAGTCCGTGAATACGCGCGCGGTTCGCGTTCCCTCATAACAGTCGCTCACAATATTATTAGACGACTGGCCGTTGTCTTTTTCTCGCCTTTCCCACAAAGGTGCGATACGATTGTGTGATTCGGTTTATCAATTAAAAACCCGCGTAATTTTGTATGGACGACCAGAAAGTTTCGGATGGTTTTCAGTTTTTATTATCATCATTGTTATTTATTACTCTAAATAGGACGAAAGTATAATCAAGAGCGGAAAAAGAAGAACTCAATGGTATTTAGAAGTCCTATTACGTAGGTAGTTAAAATTACTATAGTAAACGCAGAAAATAACGAGGCGGAGCATGCTCGTGGGCAGGAGTCAGAACAAGCCTTTTATAATGGCGATGGAGCAAAAATATCTCCATAGGATGCACTAGAACGAGACGGAAAATTGTAATAAAAATAGCGAAGCATAGTATGACTAATACATTCCTCGCCGCGCTCAGAACCCAAAAACAATGTCGACAATTAAGGAAACATTTATTCCCACAGTTTCCAATTGTTTTCAGTTATTAAGAAAACTATAAGAAAAATCGGATAACAACATCCTAGTGCACCAATCGCGTAAACATTTCCTTTCAGAAAAGACACTATAAACTCTTGAAATTCGGAGCGAACTTTCTTATGGAAAAGTCGTTTACAAATACACACGAAAAAAAAAAAAAAACACGACACACTATGCAAAGCGATAAATTCCACGCCGCGCTAATAATCCGAATTAATATCCCGAGTCAACACACGAGACGTTTGTGTATTTATCGCATAAAACAATGTTCACGATTATATTATGTTCGCGCCTCAAACATTTATGATAATATGATGTATTCTGTGTACCTGCAGCCGCATACGCCCGTATAAAAATAATGTACACGATATTATGTACACTACATCGGATTAATTGTCTTGATAAAAACCGCAAAAACGTCTAAATACAATATAAATCATAAAAACAAAACGTTAACGACTTAATTGCGTGTTAAAAATTAATTTTAATCGTCCCACTCATTGTACATTATATTTGTCTGGACACTCTCCGCGGCGACGACGCATAATTTATACGATTATAGTATATTGTATACATATTACATTATCATAATAATAATCGCAAATTGTGTGCACAAAATCGTGGAGTTTTCTGTTTTGAAAACTGTATGAAAAAAAATCGTTATTCCTATTTTCTTCTTTCGCCAATAACAGCTATCGACGTCGTCGAGGCGCATTTTCGCTGCAAAACACGCTTCCAACACTCCGTTGCTCTCTGTCTTTATTCAGGTAAAACTACATTATGGGAATAATACGTCCTTTTCTTTAGCATACTCATCACTCCGACCTCTTTACTTTATTTTATTTTAGTTAAGTTTTATCGCGTCTTAAATACGCGACCTCTACGTTTTCTCGTCCGTGCTATTGAGCTTTTTTACCCGGTTTGTTCTTCTTTTGAACGAACTATTATCCGTTTGCATTATGTCTTAACTCCTTGTCGTTTTTTTTAATCAATCCGTCTACGTTCGGTCTTTCCGTTTGTCGGTTTTTTTCTATTTTCAAAGCGTACCCCGTCGGATTCCTCGGCCGTTGACGAAACTACGGTCAACCGCAGTTACCGGGCCCGCGTCCACTTTCGTCCCTCTGCCGAGCCGACTACACGTGCGCGCATCGTACACCGCGGCGCGTACGGCCGCAATCAATCGCAATTAGTCTCCGGGTTCCTCGCCATTACAGTCGCGGCCGCGGATCGAACGCGGACAATGCGATAATCGGCGGTCGTGTCGCGACACCGAGCAGCGCGGGTGACAAGTGAAAAAATCCGAATGCACCGGGGGAGGGGGGTGGGAGGGTAAGGGGTGGTATACCTACCGATCGCACGTACCGCCGGCGGTTCCTGCGAGTACGCACGCGGCGGCGGCGGCGGCGGTAATTATTTACGCTCGCGGTGCACGCACACGGGAGGTACACGCGCGCGCCGGGCCGGATGGACTCGTCGTCGTCTTAAAACGACCCGGACCGTTAATAATAATTATCGCCGCGGTGCAATATGCGTAATTACGGTATTTATTTTATTGACCGTTAGCCGCGGCCGGTGACCGGCCGAAATGTCAGCGGTGCCGCGCGACGCGGACAAATTTTAACGGACAGTGATTTATGTGCGCGGTTAACGAGAATAATATTATCGTTGCAGTTGCAGCGCTGCGCCGGGGACGCGTCGTGATTATTTATATCGTTGCGCACACGTGTACACGTGGCGGGCGGCGGCGGCGGCCCGGAAAGCGGTTTCGACGTCGCGCCCGATAACAGTTCACGTGAGTCGAGCGAGAAAAAATTGATAGAAAAAAAAAAAAAAACCGTCGGACGCCGTTTCGAACGGGTAAGTAAAATGTTTTGCTGTAACGGCGCGAGAAGAACGTCAACGGATTCGGGGCTCGGATTTTACAGCGTCCGCTGAAGGTTCGGATTACGAGACAAAAACGACAAAAACGACGGGGCGAGCTTTACCGCGCATTGTAATTTCGTTTCACGCGCCAGGGACCGCAAATGTGAAATTTCACAATGCTATTTATTTAAAGTATTTTAGCGCCACTGTTCAATTTTCAACGTTATTTTTATATCCATAAGAATCCATAAGAAGAACACCTCCGTGTTCGTTTCATATTATAATTTATCACCGCCCTGCTTATTGACTCGTCGAACAGTTTACGTTTATGATTTTTTCCGGTTGTGTTTAGATATTTGAAAAAAAAAAAAATTTTCATTTTAACCATTTTTCACGTTTTTATGGCATAGGTTATTTTAAACATTTTAGGACACGATATTATAGCGCTTATTTTAAGATTTTTCAGGTCATGTTACAGCGCATATTTCAGTTATTTTCAGTGCTATAAAATCCGAGCACTGATGATAATATTATATTATTATAGTTTAGTGTTTTTTTTTTTTTATTATTATTATTTATACCAGTTCGTCGTGACAGATAAAACGCGCGCGTGTAAAACAGAAAAATATCGACTCCGATGACGGCGTTATTATATTTTCGTTGTAAATTTAGTCGGTTTAGTGTATATAGTTAGTCATTATACCAGCCGTGTAATACACGGTTCAGTTTGCGGGATTATCGAAACGAGCTAATGGTTGTTGTTTTTTTTTTTTTTACTTCTTCTTCTTTTTCTTCTCTATCAATAAACAACCATTTAAATGTTAATTTAACATAATATACAGTACATATTATGTATTATAGATATTATACACGCGTTGAATAAACATTATTCGAATAAAAAATTGTTTTAGACGGCTAAACACGTGTATTATGTGTAATATGTATACCTACACGTATAGGATCCGTGTTTTTTTATTGAACTTTTGCCAAAATCCGAAAATATAATACCCATTTTTTCCCGCGTAATAGAATTTCGATAATTTATGGAATTCGTGTACCTATAATAATATAATATATTCTCTGCGTGTTTACATATAAATAACAATATAATACTAATAGAAACGCGCGCGCGCACGCACGGCGTACACGTGTCAGTATCCTCGCGTCAGGATTACTCGTTTACGTTTAACGCGATCCGAAATTTAATATTATGGTAACACTTTTTGGTAGGTATAATTCGAATTCCGCGGTAATTTCGTTTGATCCGTGCGTCGGTGTATACGTATCTGTTTTTTACTGTACGACGCCGGTCGTCGTGTATAACGTAAAATAAAAATAAAAAAAAAAAACAATAATAATAAAAAAGTTAATTCGATTAGTCGTTTCGGGACAGCGTGCGTTGTGCAACAGTGTTACAACCACACCGGCTATCGTACCCCGGCTTTGCGCGGACAACCGTCGGCGTTTTAAAAACAGCGACTAATCGAATCCGAAAAAATGCAAAACGCCTATGCTTGTACGACAGAGATGTGCGATGAAACGTCACTGTTGTTCAATAGCGCGTGTGTGTATCGCCGGGGAAATGAAAACATCGGAAAACGAGAGCGAACGTTGCAAATCCAACGTGTTCAACGTTTAAATCCCGGGGTTCGTAACACGGACACGGCGCGTGCGGATACCACGTAGCCACTGTTGACGACAAGACTTTTCCACGAGGTCTACCGTCCATTTGGGCGGAGGCGGTAAGGCGGTTTTGGACGAAGGGCCGGACAAAACCGTATGGATTGCGTTCGACGGATCACGATTCCGCAAACGGGTCACGTTTCCATAGGTTCTTCGGGCGCATTTTATTTACATTTGTCGCGGGTAAGAGGCGAAGTATGGTTTTTCGAAAATTTTACGAAAATCAATTCTATCTGTTCACGACTTCCAGTAGAGTAATATTAAATGTCTATTTCCAACAATACACATCCTAGCACAGAGCACGAAGAATCCGGTCCGGCTTTTAAAATCGGATTCCGTCGAACACAATTTCTACAGTTTTGTCGGGCTGTTAGAATCTAAATCGATTAAAACACTGCACACAGTCACCCGCCATCAATGTCCTTAACATTATATACAGCATGATGTATGCAAATCAATTTATAAGGTCTGCTGCAGCTGAATTGCGGGAATTCGTGTTTAGAACGCGAGTTGTCCACGAAAAATTACCCGAAAATGGAAAACAAAACGATCAAAGTACGTGAAAAAACGCACGATAAAAGTTTCTCTTTTATAAATTATTAGCCGTTACGCGATTCGAGTTGTGTACTTTCCTTTAGTTGGAATGCATCGTTCTAGAGCGGTAAGTCGGCAAAATGCGAAATAAATGCATTTTGCATTGAAACACGTGGACTAATAATTAGGGTGCGGATTTAAATTTTCTAAAAGCATAGAAATAAAATAGGTTAAAAATAGAAATATGTATTTTTTTTTCTTTTTGAATGAAATCAAAATAAATTTTATCAAATTTTCTGATAACACTATGAAGTTTATTAAAAGAAAAAAAATGGCTTGGAAATCTAAACATTCACTTTATATGTCAAAATATGCTCTAAAAATGAAAAAAAAGAGTTCAAAAGATGCAAATCAAAAGTTTCATACTTTACCTGTTTGATATATGAAACGAATTTTGTGCTTGGAAATCATTGCTCTGGGACATTCAGAAAAAATTAAATTTACATCATAATTGCTCATAATTGTCAAGCTCGTGCGTTAACACATTTCACGTAACCGCGTGTCTAACTTTGTTTGGTTTTTTTTTCTAATGAATTCGAAATTCGGGCGGATAATACATAAACAACAAACGTCATCTGAAAACCGCTTTATTCGAAAAGTACGCGTGTCGTAAAAATAATTTTCAATTTCCTCTGAAATAACTCGGGAAGACGACGGCTCGGGTGAAAAGAAAAACACCGTATGAAAACGGGTAATTAAACGGGTTTCTCGCGGGGAAGTATCGCCGCGATAATAATCGGTGTAATAATAATTACACGTTGAAACAATAAAAATAATTGTTTTCGTTTATTAATGCCGGTGCATGTCGATTATGATATTATTTTCCGGCGGGCTGCAGAACAACGAAATAAATGACTATACTATTACCGCGAGACCAGCAGTGGTACGATCACCGGGTTTCCGTACGTTTTTTTTTTCGATACCTGAAAGGGAGACAGGGGAATAGTCGAATAATTGCATTTAACGTCAGAAAGGTTATTTTGAAGGATGGTTCGATAAGCTCAACGAGCGTTTTTTTTTTTAATTTTGACGAAAAGAAACCCCTTTTTTTACCACGTCAACGACGAAACCGTATAAGCGAGAAGGAAAACGTTTGAATTGAAAGGTTATGTTGTTCGGACCTTTTTATTAAAATACCATTTTTTGATTGTTGTTGACCCGAGTTCAGATCGACCATTGTCGGTTTTTATCCCCACATAGCGAGATTCGACTTTACCCGTAAACCGGAACAGTCGAAGAACGCAGACCGGCGGGTAAAAGGCCAAAGGAAAGGCCGACGAAAGCGCCGAGCAGACGGAGTATATTAAAAGGGGTGCATGGCATTTAGCCCTTTTCCGAGTTTCCTTATACGTCTCTGCCAAATATTGTTCGGGAACCACGCACGATGCGCCTAAAGAACTCGTACCTGTTCGTGACGATAATAGCATAATTCGTTACGGCCGATAAGCCAATAATAAAAAAATTAAATTAGCTGTTAAAAAAAAAATACACACACACACACACATACACACCTAGCATCCGTTACATTTAAATATCATAGTAAAATAATACCCAATACAAGTAATAGATAATAAAAATTAAAAAAAAAAAAACCGTTAGGTGTAGTAATAATAATATTAATAAAAATCGATGAACGGTCAATAATTATAATATAAGTTTGAATAATCGCATAAATAAATTGAAACCGTTCTAATAAAAGTGCGCCTATGCTGATTGCGTTAGCGTTTTTATTATTATTATTTTTTTTTATAATTGCTTCTTCTGCCGGCAGATTGTTTTTAATTTCTTTAATATTTTGTTCACTCTTCGCAATATTTTTCATGTTATTACGAAACAACCGATTAAATGATGTTGAATCGTTACAAATAGGTTACGGTAAACCAGATTAAACTAGACGTCGGGCACATACGTCGTATCGATACGAATTAAAACCATTGGTTTCCAAACATTTTTTTTTGTTTTTTTTTTCTGGCGGAAAACGGCCAACATAATATCGACGGAAATTAAAAAAAAAATCGGAAAAACCGGTAAATATCGACCGGGGCGACCGGTAGACGTTGGCAGACGCGGAGACGGCGGGAATGGAGTTTCGTCAACACCTCTATGGTGCAACAGTGTAGGACCGTCGCAGAACATTCAAACAACATTTTACAGGACCTTACGGTACGCGGTCTTCCCGAACAACCGGGGACCGCGCGACGCGCCCGCACAGCCGTGTCTTGTTGTTTCGGCGAACGCGCGGGGAAAGTGAAAACCGCGTGTAAACAACGGGATAAAAGAAAAAAAAAAAAAAAATCGCCCCGCCGTCCGAACGGAACAGGATTCGGGCGATAATCGCCGGTAATAACGTCGCAGTAATAACTAATCGTTTCTTTATCATTCCGCCTCCCCGCCTCACGCGCGTACCCGTTTTACGCGCGTGACTCCGACGCGGCGTGTGTGCCGAAAAAACGCGGCGCGCGACGACGACAACAACAACAACAACGGTATAACCACGCGCGTTGATTTTGCGAGACGCCGTCCGCGAGCCGAACAACGGCACCACTGTCGCATCGCTCGCGTCGCGCAAACGGCGTCGGCGTTGCGTTTACGCGCGCGCCGTACCGGGCGTCCGAGTCCGGCGGCGCGTCGGTCGAACACCCGGACCACCGCCGTTCCGCCGTGACGTCGTTATCGCGGGCGCCCCGGTACGCGCCTGCGGCGATCGCGCCGTGACCGGGCCGGGCCGATTCGTCCGCGCGTACACGCGCCGGAGAAAAACCGCGTACGGCTCTGCGCCCCGTGTGCGCAGCGCGCCGCGTATTGTGTACGACACTCGCTTTGTGTTGCGCGGGGCGACGGGGGCGCCGTTGCGTATTTCTCGTGTCCGGTCGGGCGTCTTCGAACTACCACTGTTTGTTTGAATAATTCGATTTTAAACGGCCGGTCGGTTACTCGAACGGACGGCGGCGTATCATATAAAAAAAAAAAAAACAGAGGTATTGCGCGCGCGGCGTGTACTTACACGCTTGTTACCCGTTGAGAATTCCTCGCGGGTCGTATACAAACACACACACACACACACACACACAAACAAAGTAATAATGTGATTAGGGCTGTGGAGACGTGTGCGTGTAACGCGCAGTACGAAAGTAATTAGAACGAAAACAAAAAAAACGCGGCCCGAGACGTATTCGAAATTCCGAAAAAAAAAAAAAAAAAAAACGCGTTTGAAATTTCGAAAACATTAACGAACTTAATTTCTCTGTGAATATGTCTTCCGTGATCTGTTTCATAAACGGTGTTCTTGGTCCACCTCTGCAAGCTTTTCCTCCTATAATTGTCGCGTTGTCTATTTATTATGTGTCTCGTTATGCGTGCAATCCATTTGTTCCTCCTTTCTCCGATCGTTTTCCATATTGTTTTCCGTACGTTCGTTCTTCTCCAGCACCGTCTTTGATAAGCTTCGAATGTTTTTTTGTTTCTTTCCCCGTTGTGTATCGTCCGTGCCACTGTCCCGTAAAAGAGGGGCTACAATCCGTGCAAAACTCCGTGTGAGAATTCGTCCGGTCTCCGGGCAAACAGCGTTGGCCGCGAACGGGCGCGATTACTTCTCGCTCGTGCTTGTAACGGTCTGCTCTTGACACGCACTTACGCGCGAACCGACGGCGTTTACGTGCCCGGTCATGTACCGCGGTCCGTCGGCGAGAAGCGAATACAAAAGCGGCGTAAATAAAAATACGACGGGAACACCGGCGGGTGCCGAAAACCGTGCCGCGCTTCGCATACGCGATCAAATGTACACAATTATTATCGTCGCGCCGCTATTGCGCGGTTTTAGTGTTTTCGTTTGTTTTTTGTTTTTTTTTTTTCCTTTTCCCTACGCTCGCGCGCTCTCTGTGTGTACAACACAAAACACGATGTTCATAACGCGCGTTGGGTCCGCGCCGCCGACAACATCGTATATTCGTACGTAAGTATAGGTATACCCGCGCGCGTAATAATAATATACACGGACGCGTTTTGTTTTTTGTGAGTTTAATTTTTTTTTTTTTTTTCCCTCTACTCCGTCGGCGGCGAACCATTAGCGATCGACAAACACACGGTAGACCCGAACAACACTCGCCGTCCGCGTACACGCGTACACGTACATATACGTACGTGTATAAATGAGTTCGTGAGAGCGATAGCGAGCTATACACATACATACATACAGATATATTATAGAGATCTTGTGCCGCCGCCGCCGCAGATAGGTGTTACGGATCGGGGCGAGTCGACGGCGGCGTACGTGTTTATATATTACGTGCGTGCGTGCGTGTGCGTGTGTGTGTGTGTGTGTGCGCGCGCGTACGTAATATACGGTCCAGGTGTGGGGCAATTAGCCGGTGCCCAGTAATTAGGGTGCGCGAGCCGACGCGGCGGCGGCGGCGTAGACGGACGTGATGCGAGAAGCCCGGACCGCGCGCTCTTCTCGCCAACGCCGCCGCCGCCGACGGGTTTTCCTAGCCGGCCCGTACCCCTTCGCCCCCGCCGCCGTAGCTCATACGCATCACGCGCCCGCGCGCACACACACACAAACGCACACGCGCGTACGTATCTCGCGTCTATACACACGCGTATACAAAACGCGTACGCGCGTTATATACCGAACGCGCGCGGTAACCAGGTGTTTACACACACACACACACACACCCGTCGCCGGACCCGCCCGCGTCCCGCGGCTTCGGTAGCGTATTTACACACACTGTACATTTCGACAGCCCGTTTTCTACGGGGACCCGTTACCGCGAGGGTCGACCGTTCCTCCGGACAGCGCGCCGCGTGTACGGTATATTTTCACGATTCCCCCCCCCCGGCAGATTTCCGTTTTACGCGATAGATTTTAGATTCCGATGGTTTAGCAGAGAATTTATCGGTTCTACAGATGTGTTTATTTATGTTTTATTTTTTATTTTTTTTATGTGAACACTTTTTCTACCAGAATGCACACTCCGATTATCAAGTAAAGCATCTTTTCTGATAGGAAATGTTCTCTGGGCGATACTTTGGAGATGTAATTTTTTTTTTGAAATTCTCATTGATATTCAAGATAATTAGGAACACCTGGTTTTACAGGCTAAATGATTGAACGATTAAAAATAAAGTTGTAATATTGGCAACCGTTTTTATTTATTGTTTTGTTATCATTAAGTTTTTATATTTTAAATATTTTTTAAACAATCGTTTTCACGTAAACAAACATTGTTGAAATCATTTTACAATAATATGACATATATGTTGTTGACAAAGCAACACAGTCAACTGAACTCCGCTCAGAATCGTTTTTTCGTTAGCAATGATTGCTCACAGATATACATTAAACTCCCGTCTGAATCCTACCTTCCCAACTTCCCACCTACCACAGTGGCTGCGCCCACGTGCGAAGCATGTCTATTATTTTTTGTTTTTTGAATATTTTCTTCATTTCATCCGTGTTACTTTTTCGGCGTTAGCGATGGGGTTTATCGTTGCGTACGTATTCAAATCAAATCACCCTACGCTATACCCGCCTGCCTTCCGACTACTATATGAGCAAATATCGGCGGGGGTTTTTGTTTTCTGTAAGTTGTTCACGTTTTTTATACGACACGGTTTCCAAGCGCGTTTCCCGCCTCTTCCGCCGGCGAAATCCCGAATGCGCCGTCGCTTCGGGTGCGAACTTCAAACGCTCGAGTTCAGTGCGCGTTCAGAATATCGCGGGGATCGGTGCGGGCACCGCGACCGGTAACCGCGCGGCGTAACTTCGACACCGGGATGCAAACCCCCGGCGGCGGCGGCGGCAACGTAAATATATTTAAATTACTGTTGTTTGGTTTTCTTTTCTAAGCGCGCCGCGCGTTGATTATAACTCGTTTACGGGACGGGGGGAGGGGGGGTTGATGGTGATGGTGGTGGTGGTGCGGTAATAGTACTACGAGAACGAGAAACGGACGACGGACGGACCCGAGAGAAAGAGGGATAGAGAGCGTATAAAAATGTACCTATATAAATTTAAGAAAGAAAAAAAAATATAATAAATAAATATCGTAAAACGGGCGTATTTTTTTTTTATAATCGCCTACACGTTTACGCAGCCGCCGAGCAGTGCGTATACGGCCGCGGAGAAGAAAAAAAAAAAATAATAATAAATAAATATCAAAAATAATAATAATCGTAATAAAAAAAAAAAAAAAAAACCTGTACACTCGCGCACCGCCGCCGTGCCCCCGGGCGTCATTAACTCGTCCGCGGCGGCGACTCCGGGGATTAAAATATATTTCGTAATAATATCGAGGGGGCCGCGGGGCCGGCGATAATGCGTATAATTGTTTTCGACGAGAAACACGCGAAAATTAGAATATTACCGGACGTTACGCGCGCGATATTTCCGTTCCGTTATTACTTATTGACAACGCGCGACCCGTCGAGAGGTATAGATCGTTATCGTTATCGATATAGGCGCGTTCGGACGAACAACCAAACGTAACCCGGTCACTGCGGCCAGTCTGCCAACGAGTCGTGTTGGCGATTTCGGCGTTATGTAGGTTACTACATACCGTCCTAACCGAACGAAATAAACGGCATTGCGACGCGTGGTAATTGATAACGCAATGGTTAGCCGATAATATAGTGAGTCTGGACACCAGAAAATCACCCGAAAAAAAAAACCTTGTGCGGAGCGTAGCGCTATATGGAACGGAGCCATGGACTGTACTGACGGCTGAGAATAGCCAAAATAGATGCTTGTGAAGCGTGGTAGAGGACCCCGTATGTAGTCGTAAAAGCGCATTTCCAACTAACACATTTCAGTAGTTTTAAGGAATACCGGATTTACGATTTACACACGTAATGCAGTTCATGCATATTTCGGTATGGAACGATTTCGATAAATATTTCAGATACAATAATATTATCGTCGGGCGGAAATGTCGCATATTTTGGTGTATCGCTTGAAACAGTGTATGGGGTGGCCAGTAACCCTACTATGGTTACTCATTTTAATTATAAGGAGATTTTTTTTTTTTGTTGTAACTCGGTTATAAATACACGTAGAGACTTGAAACTTGGTAATAATTGTTATATTGGATTTACCTAGACGTGGTAAACTTTTCAAAATCACCGGACTATTTTTTTCCTTTTTTACATTTTTTTACAATGGTACTTTTTTTATACGTATATATATATATATATACTGTAGACCATTTTTATCCTAGAAAACTTGTTCCGATGTATACGCATAGTACCTTTTCTGAAAGTCAATTTTATTTACTTGGTAAATACATAAGTTATTTTTTGATTTTCAAAACGGCATTTAAAATAAAAACGATTAACCGGGGGAAAAAAATAAAATTTTTTCACGATTTCGTTATTTTAAATAAGTACCTACCTAGCATAAATATGGCTCCAATTGAAAAACGACAAGAGACTTTTTTTTTATTAATCTTGTTATTAATGACGCAGTTCGTTTTTTCGAACTAGTTTTCATAATAATCGGGAAAAAACTTAGGAAGGTCAGGTTGAAAAAAGTTATGGCACTTCAAATTATGTATTACCGAACTGGGGGCCAATTCTTGAAATAATGCGATAAAAGTCATTGATTTTATCGCATGAGACTTATTTTAATTGCATGCGATATATAATTGGTATTCTTGTACCGAATCGATAAGATTGTATTACTTATCGAATGCGATAAAGTATGTCGACTGAACCACTGTGGTAACAATACAAAATCTAGATCCACAGATAAAAAAAAAAACAAGATTCTAGTTTTATAACTAGGTACTAGTTACTTGTTACCAAGTTCTGTTGTTTAAATTCATTGGTCAATTAGGTAAGTGTGTAATAAAATAGTTTTAATTAACAAAGTGTTAAGTGTTATTACATTATTTTAAAAATGTAATTAGGTACAAATAAGTATGCACATTAATTTATTTTTAAATCTTAATTAAATCACGAGTTTCTTTTTGTTCCTAGTTTTTTTTTTTTTTTTTATAATTGTTCATTTATTTTATCTGTATAATGTCTAAAGCTAGACCGACTCAAAGCTAAATAAAACTTTTAATGGAGCTTATAGCCAAAGTTACACAATTGTGTTCCAGTAAATTATATAAATAAATATATTTGTAAAACTGATTATGAACTTACCTTTGTCTTTAAATCAATAGCAAATACATGACTTTTTATTTCAATTTTTGTGGTCTTAATAATTCCATTAAAAAATAACAAAATCTTTTATAAGTCGGAAGTTTTTAATAAATAATTTTTTTGACAGGATGAACGGATCCGTTATAAATTCTGATTTTCGCATTTGTCTCACGTAAATTAAATTCTCATGTTGATAAATATTGTCAATAGCGAACAAAGCAGCCATATCTTCAACATTTGCCATTGTAAAATATTTATCTTCTAGGTAAACGGTATTAAAATAGCAAAGTCAAAAATATAATTGAGAAAATAACAGATTTTAAAATGTATTACTTATCCGTATTATCAATATTTATCACATTTATTATAAATAAAGAATTATTATCATGCGACTAACATTTATTACTGGCTTTAAACCAGTAGTTAACTTATTGTATGATAATTTTTCGATTAAATTTTATCGCTTTTCAAGAATAGCCTTTTTTAATTCGTGCGATAAACGTGTTTATCGCATGCAACAAAGTCAAATAATTTCAATAATAGGCCCCCGGCGCTAGATATCGTATCTCGTCAGCAATGGTTTATCGTTATTTACAGATATAAATGAAATAACCTTACGTATCCTACCTGCTCAACTTCTCACCCTCAACAGTGGCCGCATCCGTCTCCAGTATCAGCTCTTATTCTTCTTCTTCAGGGTTCACCGAAACGGATCCTGACCTCTGAAGGGGGGGGGAGGCGGTAATTTTATTAATATCATAATAATAAGGCGGCATTCACGATTTGCGTCGTATACCAGTTATATATTTTCCAGGTCGTAAAACACGCGAATTACACACGAAAATCACGGTGATTATGATTAACTGCACTGCAGTGAGGTCTACTCCTATGTACGTATACCTATATAATATAATAGGTACGTGTTTATACGGCATAAAATTTTATGTTCCTACTGAAGAACAAAGATTGTATACATAAAATTAGGCACCTGTGTAAATATTATACCGCGGTAGTACCTTACAAGTTATAGGTATTAAACCTTAAAATATATTGTAATAGTGTTGATAGGTTAGAATATATATAGGTTGGTTAGAATTGTATAACTGTGATAATACACACACATATTTATCAGTTCAATGACGGTGTGCTGTTCGCTCTTTTAGGTTTTATATAGTATTATAGTTTTTTTTATAGTATTTTAACTTATTAACAATGTATGTTATATACCGTGAACACCAGTGGAGTAGTTAAATACGTTTTCGTTTTGAAACAAAGGAAACTGATTAAAAGAAAAAAAAAACTGTCCCATATTGAAAAATACATTGACCGTGTCATTCAGTGGCACAAGCAAAGCGGAGGTGTTTTGTGTCTACGATCGATGGCGTTTTTTTGCAGTATATAGATCGCAGAACACCAGTAAAGTATTCGGAAAGTTACGGCGGGGAGGAGTCTGAATTATAAGCGGACACTTCTCGCGAAAATGTCCTATAGTCACACCACTGATGTAATTTCCCAATTAAGTTGAGCGCAATGACGTTTTACACACTCATTATTCATTTTAATAAAATAATTACAATATACGATAATGTACCATTCATTTAGAAAACTTGTGTTGTTATTATTATTAATACTGACCTGACAAAGGCAAACATTTTAGTACGAAACGCGATTTCTAACGAAATTTCCCTGTACATATAATTTTTGGCTATTGACATTTTCTAATAATCACCTTTGACTGCAACTCATACGTAATATTATAAGGACGAACGTTTATTTTTATTAAAATTGTAATGTTTTTTTTTTTTTTTTTTTTTTATATAACTCGTACATTATAATATAGCATTGCTAAAACTATAACCTCAGAATCGTTTTTGGATTGCGATGACATATATTTGATTTCCGTTTATAACTAATAAATAATTTTGCATCCTATACCGAACCGGACCAACTTCCCAACCTACAACAGTGGCCTACCCATGGCGTGAACATACACATGTTACACATATGTTATATATATATAAATCCGCGGTTTTTTTTTTTTTTTTTTTTTTTTTGATACATTTCGTAAACGATTAGGTATACAAATCGTAAAGCACACGCACAAATCGACGAGATACCCCGTGGCGATTTTTATGAGCTTCATTATGTTACCGATGCGGTCAGACACAGCGGCCCCTCCGATCATTACGCGTATATGTACAAATAACAATAAAATATGAAAACTCAACTGCAGTATTTACACACGTCGACCACCCAAAATGTACATACATTCATAATATCATCGCCCTCGTCGTTAATATCCCTGCCCCCGGGAGCGAAGGGTCTGCGCTACAACGTTGAATAAACCGTATATATGTTCATTGTATATGATACGTTATAAAATAGGGTGTAGCCGACTCGCCACAGTTGCATTGATTTCCCTATCCGACGACGTAAGAGGAAAAAAAAAAGGAAGACGGTAATACTGATGCTATAGTGCCATCTTTATCTATTTCAGGAGGGAATCTGAAAGAGAGTATGTATTATAAAATACATTGATTTATTTATACATGTAGGTATACATATATATTCAACTATAAACAGTTGTTAACGAAAAACGTTTCTGAGCAGATTATTATTAGTCTGATTTTTCGGTTATTAACCCAGACATCAACGAAAATTATACATGGAATCACAATTTATTTTCATTTACTAAGAAATCTTACAAAGAAAATCAAATAATTATCTCCCCGTTGCATTAATTTGATAAAAAAACGCACCAAGTAAGTTCCTACAAAACTTTTGGTTGGACAAAAGTAAACAAATAAGAAAACAACACATCAAACCTAAGAAAACTAATACGTTCCTGGTTTTGTTCAGAAACTAAACAAATTACACGAAAACGCATTTTATTATCGTTATTTCGGAATGGAACTCGCTCGGCAAACCCAACGGGAGGGCGTAATTAGAGGGAGTTCGGGGGACGACGTGTTTACCCCGAAACTTACCCGCGTTGTTAAAATATGTTTTTTTTTTACAGACAAATTAAAAATATCGGTTTATGAGCAAAACATTAACTGGAATAAAAAAAAAAAACCGACTATACACTATAGTGTTATACTCCTGTGGATAAATCTGTGCGTAAAAACGAATTAGATGCAATAAAACGTATCGATAAAACTCGCGTTGCAATATTGTTTGGGTAATTTTTGTTTAGAATATTTCGTGTAAATTGAAAAAAAAAAAAAAAATCACTTAGCGAGCAACACACATTGTGCTCGGCTATTATGCATAACGTTATATTATAGGTACAGCGCGTAACCACGCGTCGTGTTTTCTCGTGTTGTGGGGGCGGACCAGCACGGTCGTCCGACTGTGTCATTTTATAATTGGTCGGCCTACCCACGTGGAATGGCACCTACGATACAATATAAATGCGAGACCATAATACCCGTTACGCGTGTAATACTACAGTTTCGGGTGTTACGGCGCAGCGCACTTTACGACGCCGCGTCGTATTTGTGCCGGGCCGCGTATTAACGACGCGCCGGCGTGTAAACACGAACCTGATCCTGGTGCGTACGCGTTTCGAGTCCTCGGCCGCGGCGAGAGCCCCCCCCCCGGACGGTTCGTACGGCCCCGACGACGTCCGCGGAGTCGCCGTCGACAGACCCGCGGAGTAACGCGCACGTTTCGGACGGGTAGCCCGTTCGACCGGAATCAAAATATAATACACGGCGGCTATAATATTACGCGGTACGTTGCCGGGCACCATTATGTTAATCGTTTACGGCCTTACATACACCATCACGGGACGTAAAAACGTCGAGAAACGTCGCTGACGACTATTATATGGACCGCGATGCGTACACACTACGCGCGGCGTTGTAAAACCGGAGTAAAAACACGTGTCGTTCACGAAATCTTGAAATCTCCGAGGATCCGAACCGCCCGGGACCGTCCGGCCCGTCGTATCGACGGATTCGTGGACGAAATATCGCGAGCCGATTTCAAACAGTTGTGTGCTGCGAGAGAAGCGAATAACATTGTGACGGGCTCAAAATTTGCCATTTACAATTTTGATAATTTTTTTTATTTTTCACTTTATACTATACCTAAATGTAACGTTTTTTTTTTTTTTTTTTATACTATTTCCAAATAAACCAACGAATTTCGAATTTTCAAAAAATTTAACACACGAGGATTTAATGCAGATGCAAACCGTTTGATCGAAAACCTCGTAAGTCGGCTTGTGTTTATTTATTTTATCTATTGTCATATGAAAACACCGCTAAAGTTGTACGGCGAATACTATCAAACTGTGTGGGAAAATAGAGACAACTAATTAATTTTTTTACGAGGTTTTGCCACGAAGCCGTCAAATATACGACGGAACCAGGGACGGATGGACAAACGGGAAAATTCCCGATGGGCCGCGTGCGGACGAGTTAAAATGGTCCGCCGGAGTAATTGCTGTGTTATATATTTATATTATGTGTACAATATATGTACGGTCTTTTTTTTTTTATATAAAAAATCGTGGCAAAACAAGATGACAATCTAATATATTATAAAAATGAATATTCGTTCGTGATCTATAGTCGAAAACCACCGAACTAATTGGCACTAAATTTTACTCACATATTTCTTGAAACTCAGGGAGGGTTTGTAGCACAGGCGCAAATAGACTAGGCTACTAGGGAGACAACTGCTAAAGAAAAGATTTATGAAAAATTCAATTCCTAAAGGACGAAAAGAAAATGCATTTTCAAACATTTACAGACAACAATGGTTAACTGCAGTGATATAGACGGGAATGAAAAGTCACAGAGAAATACGTTTTTGGTTTTTTATATTTTTGCGCTTTTGTACGATACGAGTCTTTTTTCTTTTCTCATTTTGGCGTTTAAATCTTCCACCGGGTCCACTATATATTATACAATTTTACTGTTTGAAGTCTCAATTCGCCCCTGGATGGAAACAGTCATTTATTGAAAACACTCAATGTATAATACTAATTCGATGTTTGGAATACTCGAGGTCGTGTTCAATTACATGTTTTCCTAATCAGTCGGACTGAGGACTAACACTGACCCCCGTCCCAGGCCTCGAATCGAATGAAAAACTTCACGTATTATCCATCAATCGGCAGTATTTAGTTTGTTTACATGTGTGTAAATGATACTTCGAGAATTTATTAGACACACATCATATTGAATCATATTTTTTCGCAAACGGAACGGGCGTTATCGATTGACAACTATTATTATTTTAATAAAAAATTCGATCGCGAAATCCGCAAAACAAATACCTAAAAAAAATTTAAAAAAAAAAACGTTTTTTGCTCGTCGTTCCCGCGAGAATTATGTTACGTCGCACTGAAATAGCCGTAAATTAGACATCGCAGTGGGCAATATATAATAATATTGTACAGTGCACGCGGCAAAGCGATCGAAATTTGTTTATTTCGCCATTTTTCGTCCGTCTCTCTCTCTCTGACGGGGGTAAACTCGTATCGCGTATTTATTACAAAGATAAATGTGTATATTGCCATTATAATACGGGAGAGCGCCGCCTACACGATATAATGCGCGTGATATACCGCGGTATCATCGTGTACACGGAATCCGCCGCGCGCGTCAACAACCATCAAAATTGTCAATAACAATCGCGTAAAGGCGGCGGCGGCGGCGGCGCGTCTCCCTTTATAAATAACACATAACACAGGTACCCTGTATGCAATATTGTATACGATATTATACTCGCTCGGTATAACGCGTATAACATTATTGTAACATATAATAATATGTGGGAATACGGTAGGTAGGTGTTGCGCCTGTAGGCCACGACCGGTTTCCAGCTCTGTTACACGTATAAATATACGATTATTATTATTATATTTTCCTATATAATAATATATAATATAAATCAACCGGTTCTGCGCGCGCGCACGTATGTGTGTGCGCGTGCGTGTGTGTGTGTGTGTGTGTGTGTGTGTGCATACGCGAGACCTATCCGCGAGCGCGTTTTGTTTGTGTGCCCGGCAAATTTGGTGTGAAGCAAAGGACGCCGCCACTGCCGCCGCCGCCGCCGCCGCCGTTCGTATACATACACCTATATAGGTATACGCACACGTATAATGTGGAACGGACTCGGTGTTAAGGAAAAAAAAAAATTATCTATATGTATATTATATATTCGTGGTAATAATTTACGAGGAGAACGAACGAAAAAAAAAAAAAAAATTAAATAATAATAATAAAGAATCACCGATTTTCCCTTTAATCTATTTCGGACTCTCGCGCGTTTAAATACGTATACGAGTAAGCGTTAAATACGTCGTCGTCGCGGTCTTTTTACGCGTACTATCGTATATTATAATATCGTATAGTCGTCGTCCGCTATACGCATGCGGTATTATAAAGAAAAAAAAAACGCTTTAAGAATAAAGAATAATCATAATAATAAGTGTACACGCGTACAACGAGATTAAAAATCACGTCTATAAATCCGTACGATTATAAGCGAATCGATATTTTCGAAATTTATCGCCTCTCGGTTTATATTACGTGCGCAAAGCGGAGTTTTTAGTTTTTTTTTTCGTATTTATTATTTATTATTGTTAAAAGGTTTTTTTTTTAAAAAAATGTTTACATACACGATTTTATGTTTTATTTTGTAGACACGCGGATCAGAACCAAAAACATTAGTAATACGCTAAAAATATATTAATACACTATTGTTGTTTTACGTTATAAGAACGAATCGAACGCGCTCAAAAATCTCTCCTCCAAAACAAAACCATTTCAATGTTTCAATAAAGCACCACCGAAATGTAGTGAAACTTAATACGATTTTAAGGAATATTGAGTATAAATGTTGAGAAAAAAAAATACTGATAAAAATACCGAAAAAGTAAATTAAAACAAAAAGGAAAACTGGCTCGAAAAGAAAACCGAAAAAATTCGAAAACGTCAAAAAGAGCGATATAGTTTTAAAGACGAGTTGATTGTTACATACATCAGATTCATTCAGTGTTTGTATTTAGAACTAAAAGAGTTAAAATACGATAAAAAAAAAAATATATATATATCAAACTCTGCCGGGACGATATTAGCCTGCAGCACAGTATTAGCCCGCGTGCCGATAAATAATAATCGTTTGGTCACAGCGAATTAAATTCGCTAAACACGGCTCGCGTATAACGAGTGCACCTTCGTCAACAACGGCGGTCAGATACGGTTTTTTTTTTTTTTTTTTATCACGAAGACGTAATACCCGCGTGTGCGGTCTTCGTCTCACATACGTTTACGATACAATTTTGTGCCGTCCGTTTTGATATTAGAGCGAATTGACCCATCATCAAAGTTAAAGGCGAGAACGTTATCTGCGCCACCGTGTATAATATTACATTGGATGTCCGTCGATATGTTAATTTTTATGCGACACATAATTGTTTTTGAACTGTGACGGTTCGCGTATACGCGTATCTCGTTTAAAAATTGAAATGCCGAGAAAAACCTCTATGGTTACACAAATATTGTTCTTACAATAGGTCAATTCATTCTAATATCGAAACTAACAGCACAAAGTTGTCGCTGCTGAACGCGAATTTACTATTATACGCCGCGATACGCAGGAACTAGTGCGTCCTATTGTGGATATCATGTACGTGGAAATTATTATACTTATACGGTGGCTCTCGAAACGGTCGTAGGCGTATACGCGGTAAATTACGCGCGATTTAATTGATAATTTTATCGAGAGCGCTGTTATTATTTCATTATAATCGTTTAAAATATATCCGTGATCCGTGACGGTTTGCGGTTGCGAACGGTCAGAATCTAGGACGGCGGCGCATAATATTTTTCTATCGCGATTTGCTAGGGGTCCGCGCAGGTCATCGCCGTGTGCCCGCAAACGCCGCTTGTCGGGAAGTGAATTGTCCGTCTGCGAAGTCCGAAGTGCACAGACGGCACGGCGATAACAATAATTAGCGGTACACCCGTGAAGCGTTTCAACGGACCGACAAACGTTGAAACGGAATCCTCGACCGATATAAAAATATCATACACAACGTTATAATATTATTTTCTTCTTTGCCTTTACACAAGCCGAATCGACTATACTCATTATTTTCTCGCCTTCCACTCTTCCATCTCCCCGCTACATTTATGCAAATTTGTCCACCTTCTCTATAAGTTCATTTACTCTCTTCTTCTTGCATCGTACATGGTCAACAATCGTTTACATTCTCTCTGCACCAAAATCTGATCGTTTTTTTTTTCTCAGTCTTCTTATATATGGTCAATAGTAGATCTTTACGGTCCATGATTCTGCGAGGTGCTTGAAAATGCTGCAGAATATAACCGTCCTGCATGATACAGTGATCTGTGTGTACCTTTCCACATCTACATGTTTGGTTATCCTGCAGGATCTCGTTTTTAACAAGATTGGTATTTGCCGTCTCAACGCATACTCTTGTTCCATTTAATATTATCCGTAGTTCACATGGGAGGTTACACAGTTGAGAATATTTCTAATTTGGGAAGCATTTCTAGTCATTAGGATTTGCGGGGCTCAGAGCGAAATTTTTAAAATATTTTCATTTTTAGATTTGGAGCGGAGAGAGAAATGTATGGGTTGTTGTGATGATGTTTATTTTTTTATTTTTTTTATTTGTCAACAATTTTTATACCAGACATATCGCTTCGATTTTCAAGTGTTCTAATCATTTCTGAAAAAATATTTTATCTAGATGGTATTTTAAGCTTTAACGAAGTCATTTTTCGATTTTCATAATAATTGGAAAAAACGGAAAAATATACGTACATGTTTTAAAGAAACTTCGTTCCGAGTCGTTCTTCGTTAGCAATGGTTTATCGTTGCATACATATATAAATTAAATTTCCAACTATACCTTACCTTCCACCTACAACAATGACGATATATGTCGAAGTATTATTTTCGAATGTGAGGCCCCAAATCCAAGTAAAAAATGTAAGACTCAAGGCCTGGGCCCTGCCCGTTCCCCCTAAGGATGACCCGGGTGGTCCTCATCATATGGTTGTGTTCGTTTTTCCGGTGGTAGGACTCTCAGTGGTTCATAACTGTTTAAGAAACTTTTCCTGGATCGTCGACGTTTTTATGGTAGTATCAGTCCATACACGGGAGGAGTGACGATGGAATTGCATGCCCCAAGATTTAAAATCCTATCTGATAACCTCCTCCCCTCCTGCTGCGACTGAGCATCCGGTTATCATTCCAAACTGATTCATTTAGGACCATATTATCAACTTCCTTTGAATGTGCTGATTTTTCCCATATCGGGCAAGCATATTCTCATGCCGAGAACACAGCGTTAGTCCGGATGTCCGAATAAGACGTGTCTGCGCCATTAGTGACCGTATCTCTCTGTTGTATAATAACCTCAAGGAACCTTATCTCTGGTCGGGTATACCTCTTTCTCGGCTTCCGTCTACACTTTGTCTCGTCAATTTTCTCGACATCGTTTCGGCCCGGCTTATATTATCCCAAGACCTCTGTCGACCGTCCAAAGGCTCGCGGTCTTCAAACACCCGCGCTACTCGCATTCGTCTACGCGTATCAACGCCATGCGAGAAAACCTCGAGCAATGTCGGCGTACCCAGCGCCCTCAAAGCTGTCTCGCCGCGAGACGGTGGTGGCGGTGGTGGCGGGCGTAGGACGATTCGTTTTCTCTAACCGAACGTTGTTAATAAATTGCCCGGACGTCGGCGGCGGCGCGTACATACGTCTCGTATAACGACGTTTACGGGGTTAGGTAAAGCTTACGGGTGTATTGGAATATTATTATTATTATTATTATTATTATCGTAGGTAAGAGATACACGGAGTCGTGTCTGTGGAATGTCCAAGCCGCGTGCGTGCGGTGTACCTATGTGCGTTTGCGTATACGCGATAGAAGGCTCGCGGGAGTGTTTGGCCACGCCCACGCAACGTGCGCTCCGAGAGCCGACAAAAGAGAATAAAAATAATAATAATAATAATAATAATAAAAAAAAAAAAAAAAAAAAAAAAAAAAAAAAAAAAAAAAAACACTGACGGCTTCGAGTGTCGTCCGTAATTATAGGGTTGCCCGGTTACCGCGGTATACGCGGACCTGTATATTATACACGTACCCACGCGGGTATATTATACTCGTATTATATACACCTAGTGGTTCCCATAGTTGTGCAGATAAACATCGTCGTCGTCGTCATTGCCGCCGTCCACCACTACTATATTTTCGTAAAATAATATCGTTGTATAATTATTGTTGTACACGATTTGGATTTTGAGTAGAAAAAACGAAACAGTTCTTTTATGTAGGGGCCGATGTGTTCATTTTTCTGCCGTTTAAACTCGTTTAAGTATCTACATACACAAAAGAGCGGTCGGCCGTAATATAATAGATTTTGTTTTTTTTTTTTTTTTTTGTTTTGCCGTCATCGCGCCATTGGATATGAAGACGTGCATAAAATAAAATGAAAATTAAGCAGTTTTATTGTTTTGTTTGTTTTGTATTCGTCGTATTATGTCGTTTAGACGATACTTTTTTGTTGCATGTTTTTCCCCAAATTTCTAAAAACACGATATAACGTCCCATATTTTCGGCGAGTTTTGGAGGCCTGTGCGTTTGAGGAACAGTTTTTCTGGAACACCCAGATCCGCTCCGTCTTCACTGACTATTCTACCAAAAACACGATCGTTTACTCTACCGCTCGAGTATTATGACGCGTCCGAAAATCAATAAACTTGACGACCACATGATTTTCGCGACCGAAACGTCACAACGGCAACGTCTCAAAGCCATTTTGTACGTAGTCGTTGTGTATGCAGAATCGTGTAATACGGAATCGTGAATCACCGACAAATATAATATGCACATTGGACCATTATGATGCACGAGTCTATTAGAAAACGCTTTCGGTAAATTATATGGAAACCCGAGAGTTTAAATTTTTTTATCAGAATATTATACGTCATATACGATTCGTCGAATGCGGTGTACAATAATAACATTACGTGTCAAGATCAAATTATTTGAATCAAACAGTGTCATGCGAGGTGTTCAACCCCGTCATCGTTTCGATCAATTAAAAGCAACGTCTTAAGCGTACCGGTTTCCAGTATGATTTCTCAAAATATGACGACGAAAAATGAAAACTCCAGTGAAACCCCAGAGAAAACGCCGTGATATTCAAATATCAACATATTTAGATATTGCAACATAATGTTCTATCACTGGACTTTTCAGATCGGTGTGAAAAACAAATTCAAATCCAGCAGAACTGCATCTTTTTCGCAAGACTACGAAAGATTACTAACCTATCAAAAATCATAACTACGTTGACCGACAACGCTTTCATTTCGGACCACATTTCACGCGGAATCGTCCGATAAATAAAACCTGGGGGAATAAGAGATAAAACTTATTATCATTTTTATTTTATTTTTTTTTTCGTTCATTTTTGTGACTATATTAATTAATTGTATATTAGAATAAATAAAAAATGTACACGTTTAAGTCTTCGAACGGAACAACGGACGAACAATATATTATTATAACAACAACAAAGGTGAACTGAAAATTAATTGCTCTACAATGGAATATAATTATAATTATTTTCCGTTCTTTTAAACGCGTATATCTATAAAATTATAATTTACAAACTGCATTTATGCGAAATTACGGCGCCGGGCGTGTTACGGTCCTGCGCTCACGAACATGATGCCGTCCATTATGTTTTGTAGCAGGTACCTATATTATAATAACACCCACCCTGCAGTTTTGTCGTTTTTATTCGTCCGTATAAATATTAGAGGTGTATATTATGTTTCTTGTAGAGCTACTACATTTTTTTTTTTAATGAATTTATTGTAGCGTTCTTTCATTGTATGTATTCAATTTACGACCTGATTTTTGTTTTCCATCATCTCAGGCCCTGAAGTGCCAGCCGCGTTTTTCGACTCAAAAACATGCGTCACCGAGAATATGTTCATACCTAGTAGAGGGATCACGTCAACTTTATAATAAGTCCATACAAATTGTAAATTTCTAACTTTTAACTCTTCAAATTTGTTTTTATCTATACCATTATTTAAAACAAATGAACAAACTCGAGTTCCCAAGAAATTATTTTGTTAAGCAATATTAAAAAAAAAAGAAAGAGGCAATGAATTATCCCTATTGCCACGCGAAATCATTTTCGCCCGCAAGAACGGTCGTACTTTGTAGCGACATTTGGGAGATAGAGAGGCATGAGAGTGCACCTGCAATCAAGGCAATTTTTCTGTGGTGGTAAGAGTCTCCTTTTACACCCACAGACAACAGTTAGAAATATTATATTTTATAGCTAACACAATAATTGATATAATACAATTTAAATTAATAATCATCATGTATTCATGTTACATCGTCGTGGATCATTTCAATATTTTATATAATATTATATAAAAATCATTTTAAATGAGAACAAATTGATTTTAAATGGCCTAAAAATTCTAAAACAATCAAAAATACTCTATAAACGAAAAAATATTACGTGATTACATTGTTTATTGTGGTTCAATAAATAATTAGTAGTTTTAAGAACGTACAAAACAGTAATACTCGTGTTGCACGCTTATTCTCTGATGAAATTTCGAGAAAATAGATTATCCATCACAGACATTACTGTTAAAAATAAAAAAAAGTTATACTCATTCAATTCGGTTTGTGTAACGTTTATTCGTCATTACATTAAAACCTTTTACTCAGATTCTGACGCGATTTCGGAAAAATATTCCCCTTCTCAAGTAAATGACGCTCGCAAGTTCCCATTTGACTGTCTCAGGCAGTCTGTCGGGAGGCGTGTGAAAGAAAAACGAAATAATAATATTATTATATGTATCCGAACATTCGGAACAAGTCAAACGATATAATTAGCGGCTCGGGGACACGGAAGTGTTTTGCGGTCGAAAGTCGAAGAAACCACATTATGCGTCCATCTCGTCGAGTACTTGGATTTAACTCTTTCTTCATAGGATTGCGCTTCCGACTTCAGCTGTTAATCGGACTTTATAGTTGACCAATCGGCAAACAAAAATCGAAGAGTAAAAATGCAAAAGCAACACATCATACGAAACTACGTGCGAATTACGCGCTAAATATTCGCATACTTTGTTTTTGGATTTTCCAATGGGAAGAAGGGGGGGACTGGCTTAAAATACGTAGAAACTACGTTAAACTAAAAGCACAACAGTGTATCTATCCCAGAGACTGTGACTGGATGCAGTCTTTGACAAAATTACAACGATCAATCTGTTTATAGGTAAGGACGGTACGTGAAATAAAAACAGAGTTTTAGGAACAATGAGGTGAGACCACCTAGATAATATAGATAATGATGAAAAACAGATGTAGATACTATACTGGTAACACCAAGAGTCTCTAAAAAGCGGCCACAAAGATTCTTATCAAAAATATGAAAAACCACGAAAAACCACTTGCCTCGTGGCGCGATCTAGATTGCCAATTATTATTCGTCGATTTTCGTAGTCATAATCGTATCATAATCATTTCGAAACCTAGAGACCTATGCGACCATACAGAATCCATCCGATATATATACATATTATATGTGTGCTACGGTTTTGCCAACATTGTTATTATGTGAATTTAAATTTGCGGGGGAGGTGAGAAATGCGACAGTATTTGTCAGCACCCTATCTGCTGTTAACGTCTGTGCGTGCCTATACGGGCCGATAAAATATTATTATATTATTGTCGCGTACGGCGTAAGACGGATCTTTTTCAACATCCGTGTGTACATCTGCGTCTATAATTTTCCAAAATAATATAATAATACCGTATGTACAAACCGATGGATATGGTGCGATGCGGTCAAGTGACAGCGGCGGAGGAAAAAGAAACATTATCTCCCGAAACATGGTTTGAGAAAAAAAAATAATAATAAAAAAATCACCCGATCTACATAATAATACCTATACACACTGGGCAGTGGCCATACTGTAATGTAATGCGTTGTAAACAGTATACGCTCCCGCGAGCGCGCGCGTGTGTAAAGCGGGTAATTGGAATTTAAAAAGATAAACGCGACCGACTGATGTATATATACGTACGTACAATAGCGTATTATATGTTTTTTTTTTTAAGACATACATCGGCAGCGGTCAGGTCGTATAATAATAATAATAATAATATTTTCGTCTGAGCTCGGTGGCGGCGGCGGCCCAGGTGTCGGGTGAACGTTTTTGCGGTCACGAGAACGTAATGTAATATAAAAGGTTTCTTCTTCTTCGTCATCTCGAACCACCTATATAATATTATTCCCTATAACCTCCTCGCACCGCAGTTATTATATTATATATAGGTGGCGTAGCACAAATATACTAGACCGCAGAAAAAAAAAATATACACATATACTATATGTAAAACTTACTTTTCATACTTGTTTATCTTTTTTATGGCCCCGGACCCTCGCATATCCAGAGGCGGCACTGCAGTTATAATGAGTACGACGGTTTATTATTATTGTTATTTACTGCTCGCTACGACCACGGACGGGGAGGACGACGACTACGGAATGCGAAAAACTACGGTTTTATATTTTTCACTTTTCGTAATACGTACGCCTGCAGTGTTGCGGCCGAACGTTTCCGCGGGAAAAAAAAAGAAGCCAGAAAACGAGGCAGCATGATGGAAAGGTTAGTTTAAACATTTAAATGTATAAAATAAGCAATTTTGAACACGTTTAATAACAATGCGCACACATTATGTGGGCTACGGAGGGAGGGGTGAATGTCTCCATCACTTCCTCTCATAGACGCGTCACCGGCATTCGGACGCAGAAAACCCTTCTTAGCACAATAATGCGCTGCGCGACGGCCCGGTCCGACCCGTGATAAATAATAAAACGATGATAATAAATCGTAACGTTTATCGAACAATTTATTGTATTATTATCACGCCGCCGTTTGGCGTAGGCAACTAAATTCGCGTGCGATTGTACGTTTTGTATAGGTGCGAAAATCGTGTCGAACTCGTAAAAAAAATGGTCGATTAATTTTGCTCGTAAATCGCGAACATACGACGGCTAGGCAATATTTGTTGTATTTTAATTTGCCGTAAAATACATATTTATAATTTACAAACCGTTAATGTCACGGTTCAACAATATTACATTATATTACATATTACGTTTTTGTAAATTAATTTCATCATTTCGCGAACATTGTTACATTATTAAAATACGAGATACGCATCACGCTGAATAATTTTAATTTGAACGACGAACTGCGCGATTAACTTGAATAGCCCGTCTTAATAATATAATATAGTGTAATATGGGTACGGTATTGACTTACGCTCTTTTTTGAAGAGGGAAAAGCACTACGGTGATTACGCGAGAATAATAAATTCAGGTATTTACAGGGACGGAGAAAGGAAAATGCATTTTGGACGGGTGTCGGCCCAAAGTTGGAAATTTAGTCCACGTATTATGCAGAGTCGCCAATTTGATAATTAATTTTAAAGTCGATCAAATGACGATTTCTTCGGTTTTTCGAGTAATTTTACCTATTTGATTACGTGTTTATCGTTATATCTATCCAATTACCGTATAAATTGTGTTTTACATTTATGATGTAATTTATCAATAAAGAATACGAATAAACGGGTCAAAACGAGTTTGAAAGTCGACAAATTTTACGTTTGGGTAATTTTTTAATTACAGCCATCCGTAGATTTTTATTAGCGCCCGCTTCGAGCGGGTATTCATTGGTTATAAAATTTACTATACAAAAAACGTGCATCGGTAATGACTAATGACTAGGCATATTACAGTTACTCATTATTGTATAACCTGAGATTAAAAACATATGTTATATTAATCCGATAACGAACACGTCGAACACTGCAGCAGTGTATGAAAATATTCACAAACTATAACACGCGGCTTGTAGGTAAATTTGAATTTTAAAACCTCCGACAACAATTATTATAACGGGCTTATCAATATAATGATTATGATTTTTTTTAACGCGGCGATTATTTTCAATAATGTTTTACGTTTCGTCTTTGTAACATTATATTGATGTTATACAGATAAACCGGCTACGCGAAACGCGTAATTTTTGTTCTACTATTTTCAAGTTGTGTTAATGACAAAATATCTTATGTTTTTCCATAGACGTCCGAACGATATTGTCGTTGTGTATTTTATCAATGTATATATATATATTGTGTAGACAAAAATTCAAAGGCGGTGATGGGAGGCGGGAGCTATGATCTCCTTTTCCATTAGGAAACGAACGTATATAGTATTACTGTATACCGATAATATTATTATTATACTATATTCGTTATAAAATAGACGCATTAATTTATACGTTTACAAAAAGTGCAATTTGCGACGGCCTTTTCCGAATTCTGGGGAGGGCGAGATGCGACGGGCGCCTGTGTATACATAATATTATTACGAACGAGGTGACCTAACCTAAAGCTATTTAAATTGTACACGTTTATTACCTACACGTACGCAACGCGGATAATGTTAAATTAATTTAAATTTTATAAATTAAATTATGTGCGTATACAGAATATATAGGCGTACACATTCAAATACGAAATACCAGCTGTATAGTAATGTAGATAATAATTTGCACATTTACCTATGCATAGCGGTTTTAAAATGTACAACGCCGTCTCGATGCGTTCGATTTGTAAATAGGCTCGTATAATATCAATAATTATTATTGATGTTAGATAAATTTTTTTTTTTTTTTTTTACGAAATTACTGTTTCTATATGTAATACTGGTATCCGACAGTGTATAATATTATTATAATAAATCATTGATACCGCGCGGGCGCGCGCACCGCCTATACCCGCAACGTGTTTTATGTAAAATATAATATTAGTACGCCTATATACACACATCATTACGTAATAATTATTATAATAATAACGAGTGCTATATAATTATTCGGGTCGAACGAAAACCTTCAAAAAAAAAAAAAAAAACCTAATCGAAATATTATTGTAACTTATTACCTGAACAAACGGCCCGATATAAAAGAAATTATTGTGATAGGCGTAATACGCTCGCTAATTAATTGTACCACTTATAATATAATCCAAACATATAAAGCATATATTTATTTTCCAGAATTAAAAATTGAGAAATTCATCCCCCCCCCCTTCACCACCCCATAGTATCAGTATTGTAATAATAATATTCGTCTCGGTGAAAAACACTCGATTACAAAAACAATATTGAATAAACAGGCTTTCAGTTAAGAAGACGTTATACCCGCATCTATACTGTCTCAGCCCGACTACCGGATAACATGCAAAAACAATGTTTACGCAAAATAAGTAACAAGTAATATTTTTTTTTTTTTTTTAAATAAGTGTAACTATTTTTTTAATATTTCATAATTCAAAAAACACCTATGTAATTCCCTCTAAAACATTGTTCTCTATATATATTTTATAATAGATATTTTTATTCTAAAATAAAAATCAAGATAGTTTTACTTATTCTCCATAAGCATTGTTTTACCCAGCATGTTATACCCAGTAGTTGGACTGAGACAGTAGATGCAGATACAACATTCTCTTAAATATTAAAAGAAAAACGTTCACTCGACTCGATTTAAAATAATTGCGAATTGATTAACATCACGTTACAACTGATTAAATCGAATTTCGAAAATCGATTGTTTAAATGAAAATTGATCAAAAATATAGACAAAACTAGTTAATTTATCTATTATTAATCAATGACAAAAATAATTGACTAAAGTGTGGGGTTAGAAAGTAAAAAAAAAAAAAAAAAATTATTTTCCGTTTTCCTTTAATTTTTCAACTATATCAAATATATCGGTGATTAATGAGTGCACATTATTAGATCGTCGGTTTTTTATCAAAACTCGGTAATGCCAAATTTTACTATTTTGTGATAATAGCGCTATTAAGTGTAAAAAATTATTCTCTAACGATTTGCAAAAGACGTCTTAAGTGAATTTCTAATTCAAACTTAATTTCATGATAAACACAACAATATAGTGATGTTAATAATAACAAAAATGTACACTAAAGCAAATACATTAATAATATTGATATAAGTATAAGTACGATCTAATGATGATAATCTAACAATATGACCAATGATATAAAAACTATATGAAAAATATAATTAATATTTACTGTAAATATTTTTTTTCCAGACCAAAAAAAAAAAAATAGTAATACTAATTTTTCTATTCGATAAAACTAATTAATGACTAAACTATTAATTACAAACAATACTTTACTGATTGAAAATACTGTATTACATTAACCTAATAAAAGCAGATTTCATCAAAAAAAAAAAAAAAAAACATTTCTTAAAAATTAAACATTTTGTAGCGCTGAGATTAAAAATTAATTTTGTTGAAAATTTAAAGTCGGTTAGGTTAGGTTAGGTTCTGAACAATTACTATTTTTCCGTTACCGAGTTTTGGCAAGAGGGAAACGATATTATATTGAGAAATCATTACCAGATCTTAAAACAATAGTATACCTATATGAGTGTTGTAGCTAGATGGGGCACTGGGGCACTCACCAATTCCCCTCCTAAAATATTGTTTTTTTTTTTTTTGGTTTTTCAGTTAATTTTAATGTAGTTCTTCAATTTGAAAAATAATAGGTCATAATCTAAAGTATATCTGTGCCCCCCCAATCCTCAAAATTCTCTTCTGAATCACTAAACGCTGCAATGCCGTATACGACGTTCTCATTGGTTATTATTCTAATCACAACATAATCGCACATAATCTTGTCACAATCGAAATAACCATAATTGTTATTTTCATTATAAATTAGAATGATGTACGATGTCGTTAGTATTACAAAACCAACACCAAAGAGGTATCATTCTTAATAGAAGTTTTACAACTAATTACTTACTTAACCTTTGGGTTACTTGATTAATTTGATGCCTATTACCAAGTAATTAGCTACAGACAAATTAAATCTTATGATAAAGTAGGTATCTATTCTAGTAATTTTAATAATTTGAATTTTATAATGAATTATAGTTATGGATAACATAAGTATAGCTAGATTCCCCACTAAATTCCGTACAATTATCATTATACGGTGTAGGTAGGCACGTAGAAGTTTTGGATTTTATACACTGTAGCTGCGCTTGTACATACCAACTTGATTTATGCTATTTAAAATATTCAATGTAACAGAAGTTTTATTATCATTGAACATTGTTTTAACCAACTCACAAAACCCAATTTGCGTTATGTATTCCAATTTTCCCAAACGATTGTAATATTTTGTAAGCGAATTAATCTAATTTCAATTACGATACAAACGATTTGAGATAATAAGAGGTGGGCGTTTATGATGTGATAAAGATCATAATCATTATCAATGAGAAAATCGTATACGGCTGCTACACTGCAGCGTCTATGGCTTATACAGTACTGCAGATACCTAATGACATTTAATACTTATAAATAGGTTCATACAACGAATCCAGTGGGAAAAACGTCGAGAGAGGACTATATTTACCGAAAATTGGGGGGCGTTCACGAGATTTAACTAAACCTAACCAAACATTCAGGAAACCTATTATTATGGGGACAAGATTTCCAAAATGTTCAAAAAAGCCAGGTCGGATTGACGGTAATCGCTGACTAGGTCGTTCTCTGATGAAGCCTCTTGAATAATGATTTTTTTCAGTATTTCAAAAAAACAAAACAAACATGTTATTAATTATTTAAACTTTATAAGATGAGATGAACTTTAAAACATAGAGTATAAATTACCCCAAAGCTTAGCATAAAATCTAATAGAACAAAATAATCTCGTACAATGTACGACACGTCAAACCATTAAACTTCAAGTAAATTACAAATTTATAAAACAAATACGTTACATTTAAATTATTATAGTGTCCATTGGCATAATTTGGGTATACAGTTTTGGCCGACAGGAAGCTAATATATATTTTTATTTTTTGTTTACTTGGAGGACCTTTAGAGGGGTTCGGTAAGCCTCGGGGCCTATTTACTCGTTTAACCAACCAAGTATAAAATACGTGTCGCCACTGCGGGTCACCACTGTATAACATACACAGTGCATACGCGTAATGCACAACGAATAAATAAAAAGCGCGTATCAGAAATTGTGTGTCCCGGCCGTTTCAGTTATCGTAGTATAACGGTTTTAAAAATTATTGAAGTACATCTGCAGGTACCGTATTATGCGATAACGTTTCATTTGTAAGGAAATAAATATTAATACGCGTATTATTATTACGATTAACCCGAAATATGTTGCGTATTTCAATATCCAAAGGCCGTTCTTAACCTTCTCGTTATAAATAACCGTGCCCGAACCTCGTGCGTGAAATACATAGTACGGTACCTATAGAATCGATCCATTTGGATTTTACATACACGCAAAATGCGCGACCTAAGTCAATAAAACTATGCGTAGGTACACACTCAAGGTTTATGGTTTTTTTTCCTTCCTATTTTTTTAATGATATACGAATCTCGCGCGTCAAAAACGCTTATCGTATTATTAGGTACGTATAGATAAAAAATAATCGCGCGAACCGAATATATACACATGTATACCTCAACAAATTGGCGGTTAACGTTGTACCTATCCTTCGTGTAAATACATTGTATATTACCGGTTTTTTTTTTTTTTTTATGTTTAACATAATCAAATTTAATAACCAAATAATATTTTATTTTTTTTAATTGGTAAATTAAATTACCGGCGTTTTTTTTTTTAAATTGTATTTTATCCTATACTCCATGACGTTTCTTTGACCTGACGGATTAGTCAAATATTAACGAAATGATTAGGTATATAAATATAGAACAAACATTACTGTGGTACCTAGTTGAAACACCAATTATAAAACAATTTTAGTTTATTTAACAAAATTAATTTGTTTTGTTTTGTTTTTTTTTTTTTTTTAATCACGTTCTGAAAAAATGTTCGGTTAAGGAATCATAAAAAAAAATTAGATTTTCATCGCATTGTTGCGCAATATATATTATAGCAATGGATTTGTAATAAACAAATACAATATGATGAATATTGCAGTACCTATTCAATTTAAGGCAAATTCGTACTATATATTATATTTAAAAAACGAACCGAAATACTGGTATAAACAACCATATTCAAAATGAAAAAAAAAAGTCTCGTGTCATTTTTTTTATTGAAACAATTTTCTATTCACAAAGTTGTTTACAGACAGAAAAAACTTTTTAAAAAAGAGCTTATACTGATGAAATAGTGAGAATCCCAGTGTTGCAAGTCAGGAATTGGGATGGTAAGGTATTAAAAGTTATTTAATTTATATCTGTAAACAACGGTAAACCCCTTACTAACGAAAAACGATTCTGAACAAAATTTGATAATATATGATAAGAAAACCGTAATATTTACGATTTTCCTTAAAACTTAATCTTAAAACCGTTATAAAAAAAATACTACATTACATTCTACTTTTTTTTTACCATTAAGTACAACTTATAATGAATCTGTTAAATTGTTAACCATTTCTATTTAGCCGAACATAATATACATTCATATATATATAACACCTACCTATTAAAGAAAAACTACGTATAAAAAAACAAGAAAATGTATTATGCCTCTAAATAGCTCAAAAATATTTTCAACATTTTATCACATTTAGAAAAGGGAAATATAAGATTTCTGTCAGCATTTCAAGTTTCTGCAACCATCTTTAATTTAATAATAACAAAAAAACAAAATTGAAAATAATGAAACCATTATTTCCGTGAATTTCCCTGCTCTTTTTGAGGTTTTTTTCCGACTATGTTCAATTAGTAATAAAAGTACACATAAAATCAAAAAATGACTCATTTTCTCAACAACTAGATGTAAAAATAACAAAAAATGTTGCATGGAATTTTTCTGCAATATTTCTGATAGAAAACATAGTTTTCTTCGTCTAAGTATAACTTATAATCGAGGTACCTATGTCTAATACGTTGCACCTAAATATTATTACCGCAGAAACCCGGGGTACTATTTACGAACAATAAAAACTGCAACCTTGAGCGTGTAATATTTTTTATTCCGTTGAACTTTCCGCCGTCATATTCGTATACTGCATCCCAATCTGTATGTTATAACAGAATAATGTGTACCTTTATAACAAAATGGGTAGGTACATATCGGTATAGGTATTAAACCACAGCAGTAGGAATAAGAGAGCGATTAAATATCGAAAAGATAAAATAAAAACGGTGTAAAACTCTTCAAAATATGAAAAAAGATGATTATCAATTAATTACACGTTTATAATATACATATATATACAAAGCCTTCAGCGCTAAGATTTTAATATAATATTCCGTCTCGTACCCTCCGGAAGCCGGCTCGGCATCGTCAGAGAAGAAGAAAATCAACACCGGCCGGGTGCAGGTGCACCGCGAGTATTACCTACACCTATATAATATAATATTATCATTTATTATTGTTATTATTATTATTATTATTTTTTTTTTAGACCTGTGTGTGTATATTCGAAGACGGTCATCGGTGTTGCGCGTCCAACACCTTTATTAAATAAAACATCTGCTTGTCTTTGTATGCTGAAAAACTGTACCAGGCAACAGCAGCAGACCGTATAGGTATATTGCTTTAAAAATATCAGTAATATTCGGATACTATACGTATAATACTCCCGTATAGATTTAATCTTGAAAACACTTACGGTGGCCGAAAAAATCCCCCCCCCCTTTAAGAAAAAATACTCTCGAACGTGTTCCGAAAGCACAATACCAATCGTTTATACGTTACTTTATTTTAAAAAAACGTATTTAAGAGGTATAGGTATATTATACGTATAAAAACAGCGTGCTTCATCGTTCTACCGATAAGCCTCTGTTGTTGGTGAGAAGCTTTATGTAAGGTTTGAACGCAAAGATAAATCGTCGTAATGAAAAACCGATTCTAAATGGAGATAATTGAACTATAAATCATTATAATTAAAGCGGTTTATATCCCTATGAAACTATGGAAAACAAAAGAAAAACGAAAATTCAAGTGTCATATTTTTTTTTCGAAATACGAAAACAGCATCTATGGTAATTTATTCTGTCGAACATCCAAACTTCCAGTCATCTATCTGTTGTTCGTATTTTCCAATCTAAACCTCCTCTTTAGTTTCTTCACATCATCGGATTTTGATCACCTTATTCCCTGTCTGTTAAAAGGTATTTTCCTAGAATCCCCTTCCAACACCGTACGAAGTAATTGTTTTGAGTGATTTGACTTCTCCAGACGTACCCTGCGCATTTATAATATTATACATTAGATAGTTTCTATAATGTTCAGTTTCCGATACAATGCACGTATAGGTAACTCTGCTTTCTCGTTATTTTTCTTATTCTTCTCTACTCATGGATTTCAATATATTTTATAGCTACAGAAATTTCTCGTAAAACTCACATTGAAATTTATCAATCCGGCTTCAAAATGTTGTCGCATTTCCCTGATTTGATCGTTAGTGTTATATAAAACAACATCGAACACCAATCATGTAAGCCAGTACCCGGTTTTTCAATTATTTAGAGAACTTGTTAGGAAACCATAGAAAACTGTTTCCAAATAAAAAGTACCGTAATCTTAACTCCCGCTGATACGATAATAATAACAATAATTATTATATTTGTATTTATTTAAAATAATGAGACGATCACAAAGATGACAGAATCGGTAACTATGATTAAAACTAAGATTAAATCTGAACTAAATTAAAGCTAACTAACATACTGGTTGAAGAGAAAGTTAAACTAGAAGTTCATCAGATTGAATGGGTCGCGGTTTTCGGTGCGCATTAGACCTATCCGGTCGTAGAGTAGTTTTCAAGGAAATGAAATGGAGAAAAAATGAATACGGAAAGAGACAAACAAACGAGTGAATCGGGAGAGGACTTTGAAAGAAATTCGGGATAAGGTATTTACTGTAGGAGAATCAGGTTTATCTACAAAAGGATATATCGGATATAAAAGATACGAGATTGTATGCACGTCTGCGGTCGGTGAAGCTTTAGATGACTTAAAGGATACTATTAGAACTGAGGGCTTATTGCATTCGTTTCTATTCGACGCATTTAATAATTCGCGATTTAGAAAATAATATTATTATTATTATTCACGATCGAACGGAGATTCGTATTGTATTATTATTGCATTCGTATTTTCTCGCACGCGAAAACCACTGCAGCCCGTAGGTATAATATATACGATTATGATTGTACCAAACGCGACTTTAATTCGCTACACTATTGACTTTTACATCCGAGAGCGGATAATAGTTTATAATGTAGAGTTTCGTAATGCAAAAAAAAAATAATAATAATCATAATTTAGACGAACGTAACACGCGAAAGTACACCACGTTCTATAAATAAAATATACCTGTATTATTATAATACCGTTGGATGCGCTAACACACGGTTACATTATATCGACTCGTAGTCATTTTTATTTTATTTTTTTTCGATTTGCCGTAGTGAAAATAACGATATAATAGTAATTGGTTATTTGTTTAATTTAACGCCTTACAAAATGCATTATTTTATCGCCCGGAGGACAGAAATCCGCGATGTCTTGTATACAGAGTGATTATATAGTGTTCGTAACCATCGGTACCGCGACTATGAATTCTAAGGCTCGTGTGCAACGAATTATTTCGAGGTCTACAGTAAATAGGTTCATTATTTTAGTATTAATATACTTATAATACGAAATAGATTGTGCATGTGTAAGTATATTATAACAATAGTTATTATAATTACAATGGAATTATTATATTGCATAGGTACCTATTATAGTATACCTGGAATAAATTTGATTTAAATTTTTACAAGTAATAGCGAAAAATCAAATATATTCGTTGTACAGAAAGTTAAACAAAAATTTCAAAAACAACATTTTAATTTTAACTTTATGGTTTTAAGCACTGAGAAACATTGAGTGTCTCTCACGTTGTAAAATGCTCTGTAACAATTGGATGTTCAAGGTGTGTAATTCATTACATGGATTGCACACCAGAGCCTATTTGTTTGTGTCTGTAATACGAAATCCAATGTGTGTTAACCAAAAAATATTAAATGTGTAATCGAATACTCAAAATTAATAAAAAAAATGTCTGATAACACTTTAATACGATAATCTTTGACAGTTATATACTGTAAGCCATACACTCAGTATCGGTTCACGGTATTCACAATTTGTATAGGTACTTGTAGTAGTTGTAGTGCAGTTTTTTAAGATTTAGAAGACAATAGTTTTACTTTAATATTTTTTTTATGCTTAACTTCGAGTTGAAAACATGTGAGTATTGTGGTATTATCCAAGTTTACTGCTTAATTAAGTTTAAGAATAATGTGGTAGGGAAAATTGTATTTTGGGATCAAGTAGTGGTGTAGGGACCGTAGCTCCCCCTACGGGTTTGCGTCTAGTTGCTCTGGGAAAATTGTGTGTAGTAAGCAACAAAAATGACGAAAAATAAGCACTTTCCACACCATGCATATCCCATTGTTGTAGAATTGTAACGCGAGAAACACTCACTGTTTTTCAGTGCTAATTCACGGGATTTGGTACATTTGTTTAAACGCGGATTAAATTGTTCTACGATTATTGTATTTTAGATTCTTAATAAAGCGAGAAATGGTTTTAACAAATTTATTATGGTATATGTGTTTTTTTATGGATACTTTATTCATCGCTTATGATTTCATGTGCCACGGTTAACATCACCGCCTGCTTTTCATTGATTTCCATTACAGTATAGGACTTCCTCCTTCTTCTTTCTCTTCCTTTAAAATACAAAAGGGAATAGCCGCACATTCCGAAATGATACAGTCTATTAGTATTCTAACGAAAAGATATTAAATAAAAAGTTACAGACGAGTGTCAGTTTACATCAGGCAATATCGTATAAAATTACAACGGACGCGTCCGAATTAACGAATGGTAAAAAACAAAAAAGAATAATAATAAACACCTTGTATACACACATACGTTCCCATAAAATATGACTACATGTCTGCATCGTTAAATAATAATGCAATAATAATTTACGCTTGGATATCACATCGTGTGTATAAGATGATAATCGCGGTTCCACGAAAAGTCACTCGACCCGTGCAACCGTGCAGCAGCAGTGCTGCAGATGGTTGCCAAATCGTACGAAGCAGACATGTCCACTATATTAAAATATTACCATTGGTTATTTTCTCCGACAGTAAAAAAAAAATCGCCTGCAATTATTAAAAAGACATTTTATAGCTACGTGTATATAATATTATGAAAAAAATGTTTACCGAAACATCTCGATTCCGGGCACGAGTTCTATAGATATTATAGTGTGTAATATACTAAAAAAAAAAAATTCAGATTGTAAATAATAGAACGGGTTATATAATATTTTTGGCGTGTAAACTACATTTATTTTAATTTTACCCCTAAACCTCGTGTGTTTTAATAAAACATTTTACGCGCTAAATATACGCAAAATAAAATCTTTATTTCCGTATGTTTAATAGTGATATGAATCAGTCGTTTGAGAAAATAATCTACTTTTTTTTTTCATCTCTCGGAACAGTATCTGATTAAGGCTGACAACGAATAACATTTAACGTATAGTAAAGCACTTTCATCATTGTTATCATTGAAATCGTGTAATCGATATTATACGTAAAGTTGCGATATTTATTTAAAGAACCGATCAGAGGATTCCTATTGCGTTTGTGACTCGTTTCACATAGTGTAAATACCTTAATACGGGCAATAATAACAATCGAGAGTAGAACTATCGGTAGGCGAGAGTATAGCCTTGGTCGGCGATTTTCAACAAATCGTTCTATGTGATAAATGCTTGACCACACTAAAATGGTACTTTGGTGAGAAATAGTTTGGCGTGGTTATTATAGTTTTTATTTTTATTTTTTTTAAACTGTAAAAATATCGACTTTTCTTTAAAAATGTACAGAGCGTTATTAACTTATTCGACCAGTCGCTTGATTTGCGCCATCGATATCATTAATTGACTCTAGCTTTGCAGGTACGTTACTGAATATGTCGTCCCGTCCTTATTCAGACACGATAATCGCGTGACGAGGTTATTATTTTTATTATCCACTGAAAACGACGGCTACCATCGATTCCCGCGTAGGAACCCGATTTCCCGGTTTGTAGAGAATTAGAGATACTGCGTGTTGTGCCGCGGCCACCTTTAACACGGAATAAATAAATATCGAACAAATACTAAAGGTAATAATGATAATAATCATACGGTTTTAACATTGTTAACAAAATACCGCACCACTCCGCCGCTACTGTATGTTCCTATATTATATACGTAGTTATTATACTGCAGGTCTCCACACCATTCGTTATATTTTAATGTACAGAACGGAAACCGTACGCGCTGGCGTATATTCCGTATAACATCCGCGGGAGGAGGAGCTTACAATAATACAATTTAATTGTTTATTTATGCATTTTTTAGACAACGTAACTTAGCGTATAAGGGCTATACGCTCGATTCTAGGCGATAAAAAGGCCATTAACCGCATATTGTCTCCATAGGCGCAACTAAAGGGGGGGGGTGCTAGGAAGTCTTTAGCATTCTCAAAAATACACAACGCATTTTTTTCATATATTGTTGACTAAATATTTTATCCATGTATTTCAAAATAAATAAGCAGAACAAGTACGGATTACCTATGCGGACAATGTATCAGTGCATAAAAAATGAAGTAAAAAAAGTTCGATATATTTTTATAAAAAAAAATGTAAATGAAATGTATGTGTAGTTACCTTTTACAATATATGTGTCATGTAAAAGGGATTGTTGGGGCATTGGCCTCGCGGGTCTGTGACGTGTCTATAATTCTAACACCTCCAAAGTTGGTGGTCTAGTTGCGCCCATGATCGCCCCCTCCAGTCCTTTCACGGCTTTGGATTTAAAATATCTTTTTTTGACTTGCACGGCGTGTGAAGCTCGCGCGTTCAAATTTGTCGGTTACCATACGTCTATTGCTTTTTGTAAATTGAAATTAATAATATAATAACATCGAACACTACTAATAATACAATTGAATAGGAAGATCAGCAACATAATATGTAGTGTACACATTACCCGGATTACCCTCCTTCTTCCGCAGATGAGTAAAAATACGTTCTTTGTTCTGTTCATAATAGGCGTACACCAGAACCATGTAATACAAATTGCTTTTTAAGTTATCAAATCCTCTATGTATGCATATACGACGATGGTAAGTGTTTTATTTAAATTATTATTAATATAAAATATATACTAGAAGGTCCGTGCCTACGAAAAAATCAAGACCAAGGCAAATAACAAGACTCCACAACGTAGAGAATCGCTGCAGACGAATTGTATAATATAATTGATTAGAGAAAAGAAAATTTTACCGAGGTAAGGAACCCTGAGATTTTTCTTCCGGTACTGTGCTGCAGAATTTTACTCATTGAGCATCTTCAAATACTATACCGGAGCCGTAACGAGACTTTTCAGCGTCTCTGACCTGACACAAATTCCCATTATTATTATATGGTCTATTAATTTCCGTTTCAAAATTTATAATTTCCTCCCAATTCTATATATTTGCCCTTTTCTAAGACGCGCGCTTAGCCTAAACCAAAGTCTATTCCAAACTCTAACTACAACTTTGGTTGCGTAATTACAGACTAATTTGAGTTTGACCCAAACGGTTTGTAAATACGCAACCCATTGTAGTCTTTCTCGACTCGTACAACCTCTTAAAATGCTTAAAACCGACTCGGTTACGATTCGGCCAGGGCCTAATCCGAATTAGGTCTGTAAATGGCTATAGGTACCCATCGCATAGGCCAGTTACCGGCAGTGCACTGAACTCTACCGATAACTCAACCCCGTGATGTGCACCCACGTGTCTGCTTCCTATATAAGTCGCCGGAATACACACGAACCTCCCGGGTTCTCGTATACATAATCATACACGTATACATATTTATAATATGTATACGGCTATACAGTATAATAATAGTAAATTAAACTTAAACGAGACTCACGAAAATGCATTGCGGGTGACATTTCGTTTGTGTACATCATGACACCTACTCTTGTGACGCGTATCAACGGAATAACGATACGGCGTTTTCGTATACCTATACTTATATAAATATTACGGTCATGTTTTACACCAACGGACAATTATTATTATTGTATATTTAATATAATCTGACGGGACGGAATACAAAAAAAAAAAAAAAAAAATACAAAAAAAAATAATAATAAAATAAATAAATAATACCAACAATAACAACAAAAAATTATGTACAGGTATACGGCATAATAAGAGAGGTTAGGTTTTTCTCTGACGTAGGTACCTACAATATAAGTAATGATGATTTAAGCACGCCATATTAATATTAGCTTTCCAAACAATGCTTAATATTTTACGAAGCATTATAATAATATTATTATTATATTTTAATATACACACATACACACGCGCGGGCGCGGGCGATGACTAACAACTATAACACGAAGTCGAGTGCGTGTGCTGCACGGGCGTTTTGTGTACACTATAGCTGTCTTGTAATGGGTCTCTTGTATATAGTGGGCTCGTTACACGTTTATAATAATATTATAACGGACAATGGGTCTCGGACGGTTATAAATCATTTAGAAGAAAACGTAATGCTATGAAAAAAAAAAAACCAACATAAAAGTATACAAGTATAACGAAAAAAAAAAATAATAATAATAATAAGCGTATATTACAATGTAAAATCAGAAGGCGCGCGCTTGAAAAGTACACGAAAACGTACCTGTGTATATTACAGGTGCACGAAGTCGAACGGAAACCGATCGATAAAATATAAACTTTTACCAACCGAGTTAACATTGTTTTGCATTTTAACGCTTAAAATTCGACGAATTTTCGTCATGACATTCAACCCCGAATGCTTTTCGCCTATATCTGCAGTTTAATTTGATTGACTCTGTATTTGACTGTTTTTCATTAAACAATTAAATCGTCCGGCCTTTGTCCTATAATATTTTCGATGTGTTTTAACAAGTGATGTATTGAAGGCATGGGCGCCCGCAAGAAATTTATCAGGGAGTGGCATAATAAAATTAACCATCAAAAAATACTTAAAGTAAAATTACATGTGATATATTGAAGTCTAGGGGGAGGGGTTGCTCCGTCTTGCCACCCCATCGGGCACTCATGATTGAACAGTATACGTGGGTATACCGACGTATACCCGGATCCTTATTTTCGGATTTACTAAGTAAGCCTATGAGTTTACACCGTTTTATCTACATCGTGGTTCAATTGAATATTACAAAATTCGCAATTTCGGTTTAAATTTTACAACGCGTACATATTTACGTGGACATATTACTCGTATGTTTGAAACTAAGTAAATTCAAATTAAAACTATAAATTACTAATGTTAAATTTCAGAAGTATGCCGGTAAAACATTACTTACGATGACATGTATATTTAGGTAATGTGTAGTAAAGTGTGGTTAGGTAGTTTGACGTATTGTGAGTGGAATGTCATTTCGAGAGTAACGAGAAACATTGTTTGAGGTTTATTCAACTCCTTTTAGGTGCGTATACTCAAACATTTATTTATCAATACATCATTGGTTTTAGCGTTGTGTACCTGTATCTATATATTAAATAGCGAAACGCCAGTTTGCGTCGGGTGCCGAATTCCTATGGATATATCGGCGGTCACGTTATTTTGAGACTAGACGGATTTTGGTTTCCATTAGCAATTATAGAGGGTGGGAAACAAAAAATAACGAGGGACTTTGTTATTGCGATAATCTTACGAACCCTTCGTTTTACAGGCTTTTATTTATATTCCCCATTTGTATTATTACAGAACACTATAATAATGCGCAGTAACAAAAATACTGGGCGTACTTGCTTTGGCCTCATTCGAACGGAAAAAAAAAAAAAAAAATTTGTTACCACTGTATTTTATCGTTATTTATTGAAATATATAAATGAAAAAAATCTAAATTAATATTTAATTGTATAACGTATACAAAAATAACAGTAAAACATTTTCGTCGGAGTTACGAAACATGACTTATTAAATCTTATTAATACCCTGTTAGAACGATGTGCGATTTTCGACAATCACTTATCTGACATTGCGACAGTACAGTGATTATCGATACGGCGAGATTACGTCGCATAGTGTTTCAATCTCGAATCTGAGGAGTTTTCTATTCGAGCCGAATGAATTCCGTTGTTCCTCACGACTCGCGGACAGTGGTAATCAAAGAGTGGGCACCGGAAGTGGAAGGCGCCAAATTGTTCGTTCGAATATTGTTGCAATATCAGCACGGAATACAGGCCCGCATCTATAGGGGGGGAAGGGGGTAATAGGGGGTCTAGAAGGGGTCCTGTACCCGTTATTCGCTCCACGTAAAATGTGTGCCGGAAGACTACGGTCATTTCCGAATTAATCGTTATAGCGGAAAAAAGAATACACGAGTAAAGAGAGCCGGATAATATTGTTTTTTTTTTCCCCTAATACTATAACTATAACTCTCGGTTTGTCGGTTTTCCTTTCCCCCCCCCTCCACCACCCCCACGGTAAACGGATCTGTCTAACGTACGTGCCTGACGGGCCGAATGCTCGCCCGCGGTTATCTGCAATGATCAACAGTGACGCGTGTGTCCGTACACCCTGTACAAAATCCGTCTTATCGTTCGGCCCATTACGCGACAACGTGTTCACCGGGACGCATTGCGCGGAAGCTCTCGGGCGACCGTTCGACAGACGTCGTCGTTATTTGATTATCATACGGCCATACGGATACCGCGCACGCGCGCGTTAAATTCGTTTTCACGAGAAGTCTCATAATAACAATCACTGTCGGAGACTGCCTGCGTTATATTATATTCGATATTTTATTATACCGCCGCGCCGTGCACATTGAAATATAATAATAATAATTCAAACCGAACGTGTCGCGAACAACAGCGGGACGACGGTGATTTTAAATCGGGCCCGTAACAATGCGCGTATTGTGACCGAGACCGGACGACTGTTGTTCGCAGATCGATAATTTTATTTCTCCGCGGATGTAAATCGCAATTATATATATTTTCGAATTGTATATGTACGGCGTTTAAACACGATTTGAATAATATTTTATCTTATTTATTTCCCTCGGCCATTTGTCCATTAAGTAGGTATGCGGTGAACACTGCGTTTACATCGAAAAAAACGATTCTCAGCGGAGTTCAGTTAATAGTGACGCTTTGTCAACAACCTGTACGTCATATTTATGGTAAAACAATTAAATAGGCGTTAAATATTTTCTTTGATAATATTTATTCAATATTGTACCGATTTTCCCGGTTTTCCCACAATTTTTCCCGGTTTTTGCTCAACAAATGGGAAATCAAAAAATGATCTCCTAAAGTATCTTTTCAGTCAGATTTCTTTTCAGTAAAAGTGCTATCATTGTAAATAGGAACAAAATTGCTTGTAAAAAGCTCTGTCCACAGAACAAAAATAAATCATAATATTCTATTAATACCTATATTTCGTACATTTTCTTGTTTTTCCTCAGTTTTTTTCCATTTGTTCAGAAATAATGTTGCACAATTATAGGTACGTTTTTTCTGAACTCTAATGGGCGTTTCAAAATTTTCGAAAACAATGAAATAAAAAGTTATTTTTTTAATTTCAAAAATTGTATACAAATTTGAATATTTGTAGTTCTTATCCATACGAGTAGTATATATAGAAAAACAAAACAGAATTCGATTATCTTTATGTTCTTAGGAGATATTGCAACGTGTATAATATCATCGTGAGCCACATTACGTTAGGCTGAAAACCGTATTTGAAAACGGTTTTGTAGTATTATGCATGCGATAACAACGTGACAGATCGAATGTGAAAACGTTAGGTTAGGAGGGTTAAGTCAATCGAGGGTGTATGATTCGGGAGGGGTAAGTTTTCACAAGGGGCGGAAGATAATGGGCACCCCGAAAACATACGGAACGGTCCCCTAAGTGCGGTATACCAAAACGCGACGGTCATAAAACAGTATCGCATATTGACGAGAGGGGAAATTAACGACCGCCGCCGTCGTCTTTGTACAACAATTTAACGCGTATATAATTATTATACTGCAGTACACTTTATTTCGACCTTTCCGGCCTCAATCCGTTGTTTTTGACGACCGCGAATAATCCATTGTGATTTCGTAACGGGTTTCCTATTTTTAAAAATCTATGGAATCCGGCGGGCAGTAGCGGATTTTCAACGTTTTTCTAGAAGAGGTCTTGAAAAATCATATGTATTTAAAAGGTGTTTCTATTAACGGACGCTTTTTTTTTTTTTTTTTTTTTTTTTTTAACGAAATTTTATTGAAATCATATCGGCGTCTATGGGAGGGGTCCAGACCTCCCGGACCCCCCGCTCCCCTCTGCTGCCGTAAATCCGCCACTGGCCATCCGGTAGTAATATTTAAAAAAAAAAGCGCGACATTATTATTATTATTATTATTAGGTATACTTGCGTACCGCAGTCGTGTAGGTTCGTAAAGTTGACCAGTTGCGGGAACGGCGGCAAGCCGACGGAAGCGGCGTGATGGTGCGGCATGTAGTGGAACGGCGGCAGAGGAGCGGACGGCCCCGGGAATATGTTGGCCGCGGCGGCTGCGGCGGCCGCGGCGAACGACTGTTGCTGCAGCAGATTCTGTAGCGCGGCCGCGTACAGTGCCGCGTACCCGTTGCCGCCGTGGTGTTGATGGTGTGGATGATCGGCCGCAGTGGCGTGCAGCCTGTGCGCCGGCGGCTGGGCCGGCAGACACACGGGCGGCGGGTATCGGCGATGGGCACGTTCGGTCGGCGGGGAAGTGGGCGGCGACAACGACCGCGGGACGGTGGCGTCCAACGGGGCCGCGTCCGAGCGTCCGCGTCTGCCGCCCGGCGCGATGATGCTCTCTATGGTGAACGGTCGGGGCTTGTGTCGGCGATTCGCGGAGCTGGCTCCCGGAACGGCCGCAGCGGCGACCACGGACGGCGGGTGCCCCAGTGACGTAGGCGAGGGTGACAGTGACTGTTCGCTACCGTGCACGGGCGTCGTCGCCGTGCCGCCCGGGGACTGCAAATGCTGGCCGACCGAGGTCTGCCGCAGCGGCGGCGGCGGAGGCGAATCGCCGGCCGCTGCGGCGGCTGCTGCGGCCGCGGCGACCGCGGCGGCGGCCGACGGTGACCTGCCAAACGTGGCTTCCAACAATGCCCTGTCGGCGGCCTGCAATTTGAACCGTTTGCGGCGTCGCAAAAACGACCCGTTTTCGAACATGTCCAGAGCGGCCGGATGCAGGGCCCAATAAGCTCCTTTGCCCGGGCGGTCCGGTCGTCGAGGAATTTTCACGAAGCAGTCGTTGAACGACAGATTGTGCCGTAACGAATTTTGCCACCTGAAACATTTTTAATTCTCGTATAATTTTATGCTATACTACAAACTCCCGATGGTTCGCGCATTCGAGAGAAGTGAGAATCGTTGATCAAACACTTTATAAGAAATATCAATAAAAATAAAAGATACGGACATACTTCGGCCGACGGTTGAGAGGGGAATGTAATGTATATCTGTACGCAACGGTTAATCTTTGGTAACGAAAAACGATTTTGAGCGGAGTTCGGTTATGTTTTGAAAGGCCGTAATATTTGGGATTTGAAAATAATAATTTCGTAAATTTTCCCGGTTACCTACGTTTCCCCCCGATTTTTCCTATTTATTAATGAAAACAGCCTGGAAAATCAAAAAAATATTCTCCCTAAAATGCCACTCCAGTCAGATTCGCTTTCAGAAAAAGTGCTATACTTGAAAATATGAGCAAAATTACTTGTAGTTGTTCACGGATAACAAAAAAAAATTAATACCATTGTCCAATTAATACATTCTTCGCTCCGCTCAGAGCCTAAAATATGAACAAATATCAAATATATTTATTTTCCGTAAGATATGTTTTATTTCAGAGAAACATCCGTTTTGTTGTTGAAAGCTATAATCTTATCAGTAGAACGGCCACGTGACAAAATGATATTCTCTCATTGGCTCACGCGCAAATCCAGCAAAGAAATGGGACATGTGCTATCACGAAATCCAGTATTCGATCGCGCAGCGGTACCCATCACAGTTTCCAGTTAGCAATCCGTAGCAAAACAAACGTCATGTACAGTGGCCTCAACACATAAGTCTTCGCGAGAACTGCATTAGTATATAGTTTTTTTTATGATATACCAAATCACAATCTGCCAGTGATATAGACGATTCGTTATTTTGGGTGAGCGAAGGGATGAAAATAATAATGAAAAAAAGACCGACAAATATCGGACAGATAAAATTATAATGTCCTATCGTTTCTATAAGTATACTTAGTGTGATACGGGGGGAAATCCGGAATGTCGCACCCAGTTCGAAAATTCGGATTTTTACAGAAAAATCCAGATTTCGGAATTTGAAACTCTGCGATTTCGGATTGTTTTTTTCTTTTGTTAGCGATTTATCGTAATACGAATTACCTAACCTAACCTATAGAAAAATGAAAAATAAAGTGTGCACACAGTTAATTCGGTCGATATAGATTATGAATTATATTGGAATTTTTTTTTTTTTTTATGATAGCACATGACGTATTAAACGCATCAGAAACGAATATAATATTATAATGTTACGGGTATAGTTTTTAAGTCGGATTTAATAATATCGATAATATAAGCTCAGGCGTGTATATTGGACGGTCACACTCGCAGGAGAGGTTACAATGCTCCGTTAACTGATTAGATCTTCTAATATATAATATATACATACGAGTATATAGATAACACAATATTATAATAATATATTACGACGCGTGTTACTTGAAACTCGCGGTCTGGAGGTGTACCCGTATTGGATTTCAATCGATTTTATGCTAATCGCGGTAATCTCGTAATTAAAACCATATTATCATCCGTGACCGTTAATTGCGGGAACATTGTAATTATACAGAATAAATCGAACGGGCCGGGAATATAACATACTTACACCCCCTTCGCATACATAGTTGGTTTATACAGCTATTATACCTATAATATATTAATACGTACATAATAGCTGTTGATTATATTATTTTATTATTATTACAACTAAAGAGCTGCTCAGAAAAATATATCTCCACTTCAGATTACGTGGGGATGTTCGTATAAGGTATTATAGAACGATGTCGAATTGCATTCGAGTTATAAAACGCTTATATAGTGTATACCTACACAGTCTTGCAATTTTGTAATTTTGTTGCTTTGTTATAACTAAGCTCGAAGACTTTTAGCTCGTGCAAAAAACGTGCAAATATGCACTAAAATATACTCTAAAATGTTTTATTTATTGAAGTGTTATACTAAAAACTCGATGTATAACTAATTTATTACTATTATTATTATTAGTATTATTTATGGAGACAAATTATTACCAGGGGTCAGAAGACCTCCTAAAAAAAACCTAAAATACGCCACTGACCACATTACGTTGGCAATGCGGGAAAAGAAATTGATTGAACTGCAATTCCGCTTTAACTACGGATTTATCCAACAAAAACCCAAAACTAGTCAGAGATCATTCGTATCAGAGTGATTTAGACGAAATAGCCATATTAAAATGTTAGGGCATTTTTTCCCCCGGACATTTTTAACTCTGGACATTTTGGTAGAACCCCACTTAAATACTACGTACTGCTAAAATATACTCTAAAAATCAAAACTCTAAAATATGCGAATATATGACAAATAAAACTTAATATTTATATTTCTTAAATGACGAAACGTATTAATGTTTGTCTCTGCTATTTTTTTATTCTTTCAAAAATAATATGCAAATGCTGTAGAAGCCTCTTACCCTAGTTATAATACGTATAAGTTATTTATTACTATTCAGTTATATATTATACTAGTTATATAGGTGGTACTTACATAGACAGTAACATTTAAAGAAAATTAAAAATCGAAAAAACTTACAATAATAATATAACGAAACATAGAACATGATTATATTATGTTTTATTGAGAGTTTTTCTGGTGGTCCGATAAAATTTATCTCGTATTGACACAAGCTCCGAATAGCCTATAATATAACCGATAACCCTTTACGCCTTGGAACATTATAAGGTTTGTTGTTTACGTGTATAATGTGGATATTATAGACACATCATAAATCGAAATAGATTTTTTCGTAGTAAAATTCCGTTATTATATCACAATTATTCATGCATAACGAAAATATGAAAAATATCACATCGATTCGTCATCATATAATTTCCTATAATCTTATATTTTTCAATGTGATGCACTGCACTATTATCGTTTATCGACCCATTTTAAAACATTAATCATTCGAGTAGTCATCGTGTATTGTAAACAAATATGTAATTATAACAATATACGCAAATAACACTAGGTTTAACTAAAGTTGTCGATAAACAAATGTGTTAATAATATGAATTCAAAAAAAACAGAACTGATATTTAGTGATACTGCTGATGGGTGTGCCTCTGTTGTAGGTAGGAAGTTTGTAAGGTAGAATGCATATAAATTTATTTGATTTATATTTGTACGCAACGATAAATCATTGCTAATAAAATATGATTCTGAGCGAAGTTCGGTTAAACATGTTGTAAAATGTCGTCGTTTTCATGGTTTTTGTCGAAATTTGAACTTTTATTTACCTTTAAGAAAAATGTACAAAGAAATTGTATTAAATTATCAAGCATTTCTATTAGGCCAAACAATTCGATTCACACAAAACCATAATATAAAAACTAAACAAAACTAGAAAATGTCAAATACCTATAAATGTCTCAAAAATCGCCAGAATGTTTAGAAAATATTACCAAGACTAGAAAAGGCCAAGATAAAAATGTTGTGAAAACAAATTTCAAGTTTCTACGATTATTTTTAACCGTATTAAAACAACAAAAAAAACAAATCGAAAATAATCAAACTGTAGCCAAAGCAATATTTTTTCCGTTTTTCCAAATTATTAAGAAAACTAATGCAAAAATCAAAAAAAAACAATCTTCTTACACGGACAGTAGACAAAATTTTCTTTTAGAATATATACAACTCTTGAAATTCTGAGTAAGATTTTTGGTTGAAAAATACAACCGAAAATACTAAAATGTTTACTACCGTACAATTTTTCGTTTTTTAAATTTGTCTCCATTGTTATGAAAAACGTTTAAAAAATCAAAAAAATTATTTCTCAATACATCAACTAGATTTAAAATTCATTAAAAAAGTGTCTAGATTTCTGGTAGATAAGTTGTTAATAAGCAGACAGGCAGAAAAAAATTAATATCGCATACATCATAATGATTAAAAAATGCATTCCTTGTTACAATCAGAATCTACAAATAAGTTTAATTATAATATGAGATTAATTTACCAATATTAAAATATCCACTTTTGTAGATCATTCAAACTTTGAAATAAAAAACGTGTAATACCATGCAAATATCTGTATGAATAAAAAAACCATATTTATTAATTTTTTGAAGTTGAGTATATTATTTTATCGTTGTATACTTGTATAACATACAATTATAAAAGTGATTTATTTAAAAAAAAAATTTAAAAAAAATTTAGTATGAAAGATTGTTATATTATAGGCGATATTATTACAGAAGGAAGGCGAATAACATAAAGCTAACATTAATACGGGTTCTTGATCCTCTTATAAATTTATACTTCTTAGGGATTCGGAATCCGTTTTACAATAGTATATAGTTTATCCTCCGAATCAGGTAAACCGGGTTGAAATTAATTTTAATCAAAAAGACTATATTAGAATTTTTGAATATAATATCGCTTCGAACCGATCGCTACCATCCATGTATTACCCATTGTACCCATGTACCCAAACACAAGTTACACGTTTTAATCCTCGCTAAGCGAGTGCATAATTTTAGATGGAGTTAATATTCTTAAAAGATCTTTTTTATTATTTCTTAAAAGATATTATGGCGCTCCCTTGAAATGTGTTGCCCGGTCCCAATGTCTCTCTGTCCCCTCGCCTTTAATATGTTCCTGTGATCGAATTAAAAAGTCGATTGCGAAACATATAACTGTATAGAACCTAAACTATATAATATTATACGGTCACACTTAGCAGTATTATAATCATCTACAAAATCTGTTATTGGCGAAGGTCAAATAAATGTTTAGTTAACCAATTTGAATACGTAGGTACGCAGGTTAGATATATGTATGTATAATGTATATAAATATAGAGTTTATTATAATTCTCGTGAATTTCAATAATAAAAAACCGAGCTATTCAAATAACAAAAATAATAAAACCGGGCAAATATTGACGTTAATGGTCTTTATGACCTTTTTTTAATCATTAAATAAAAAAATGTATCTATGCAATTTCTATTATAAATATAACTATAATACACAGAAAAACAATATCGTTTTTCATGACTATTACTAGGTATTTTTTTTTTTTCATCAACACAAATATATAATATGCAATCATTGCATTCGATATAGTTAAATAAATGGGCGTTACGATGCAATATTATTCGACCTTTCAGTTTTCTGCATTTAAGATCAATGTACGTTTTTTTTTTTTTTTTTTTTTTTATTATGATGATTTTATTTTATGCATATCGTGCACGCGAACCAATGTTGTATAATATATTTATTTTAAACGAGACTAAATGCAACGTTGTAATAAACTATGCAGATGTGAGATTAATAATAATTTATGTGTTATTTCATATAATATATTTGTAATACACGATTTACAATATATTATTATGAATTTAAAAAAAATCCTTTAGGCCTTCAGTTAATCAAAAAATAAAATCTTTTTTGTGATTAAATGTAAAATGTCATAAACCGCATATTTCAATTGAAGTTCTGTCAATTATAATTAAGTTTTACCAAGGATTTTTAGATTTTGAAATTTCTCCAGATCGTGATTTTTAACGGAAATTATACGTACAGTATAAGTATATAGTGTGACCAAAAATTCGTACGACCGGTACCAATTTTTTAATGGACGTCACGTTAAATTTTTAAGTCTGGTCGATTTCCATTAAACGTCTAGATTTTATCTCAATTTTATAATTTTAAATAGGTATTTAAACAAATTAGTTACTTAATCAATGGTAGGTCATAGTATATTTGTAATTTCCTAAATATTTTTAATCCAAAGAGTATTAAAACGTTCAATAATTATTTTCTGTAATGATTGCAGCGTAAAAGTATACGTTTATCAATTGTCAATTATAAATTTCAAATGTTCCGTTAATTTGTTTTCATTTAATTTGAATTTCGCAAAGAAAATGTATAAGGTTGTTATGATAAAATGTTATATATTTATACTTTTCAAGAGTTATTCATTAATTATTAATTTTAAGCCCTAAAATTTGCTTTTATATGATTATTATTATGATTTCCTCGCCATGTAAGTCCACATTCTATATCACTGCTTCTTTCTACCCACCATTTATACAGAATTGGTTTGGTTTATAGTATCTGGCCCGTTTTTTCACATAAAAGGAAACTCCTCACTTAAAATATAACCTTAAGATGATAAAATTGACAGATTTATAGTTATCAAACACTGATAACTGATAGCTAATACATTTCTTATACAGAAAATTATATATTGTGTATCAAAAAAGGTATTATTTTTTAAATTGGCTGCAGAAACCTTGAATAATAGCCATAAACGATTCTTAATATTTTAACGGTTTCAATGGTTGTTTTTATTTGGCCCCATTGAGTTTATAATAATCAATATTTTTATCTTAAACATTATAGGGAAAGCGACTTTAAAAAAAACAAAATTTTTTTAAAACATTTTTATAAAATTATTTAGAATCAGATAAAAATTTGAAGTTCATTGCGGTCAGTAGAATATTGTTGTTTATCAATTAAAAATGCAATGTTTCGAAAATGTTATGTTGACAATAGGTTATCCATAAGTTACAATGATTACTGCTTCTCTTTAAATGGGTATTGGGTTTAGGATGTGACGAGGGCTCTCTGCTCACCTCTCATCGTAGTATTAATTAGTCTATTTATTCATGTGAGCCTGCCTCGCGAAGGGAAAAAAAGGATTTTACAAAACATTTAGTTATACTCATTAATAAACGATGGCAGTAGTGGGGTAGTAATGTGAAAAACTGATTCTCCATTGCTGTGGGTTAACTGGAAAAAAAGAATTGATAGTAGATTAGTCGAAAAATCTTCAATGTAGTAATTGATAATAGTTTTAAAATTTTGAAAACACAACACCGAGCACATTTTAATGAAAACTGTATAAAATATAATGTCTTATCTATGCATATAAAAATATTTTAAATTAAAAATAACTACCGAACAAATCGGCATCAATAATTAAAATTTATTACAACTAGCTTATTATTATCATATTATTGTACAACTGCGATTAGTTAAATATATTGTGTTTCAGGAATAATCAATACAGAATAACAAAAATCTGCTATTCATGAAAATTATCAGTTTATTAATGATTCCATTTATTCATTAAAAAATGTAATAATTTATATAGAATAAAGTAGGTATATATTATACAAGTAGTATATGTATTAAAAGCTAAACTATCGACCTAGCCTAACAAGGTAAATATTAGACGGAGATAATAGTATAAGGAAAAAAAAATTTAAATTGATTGCTCGCTATTTTGCCTATGACGTAATCTATATATATATATATATACGATAGATTATACGTAGTCTATTATAAAACAATATTATGGTTTACAGTAAACAGGTACACATCGGAAATAACTGTGTAAATGTTAGCATTTCTAAATTCACGATTTATTTTCGATTTTTAGCTTAATTTTTTTATACAGAGTAATAAACAGAGTAATTTACAAAGCTGGACAAGAATTAAAAGTTAAGTTATAATAAATAAAAATCAATTTACGAGTCACTCTTTAAATAATTAAATTAAATTTGATAAGTTACTTTTATATTCAGGGCGTAGCTAGGAACGTAGATCGGTCTTAAAATTATTCTTTTAAATTTTTTTTTTTCTGCGAACATATTTTTTACCGAAAATTTTGATCTGGTGTAAAAAGTGTAGTATCTTTTCTGAAATGAAATTTTATCTACTTGGTACATACAAGAGGTAATTTTTATATTTTCCAAGCGGTTTTTATAATAACTGGGACAAAATAAGAAATAATGTACGTACAGGTTTAAAAGAAACTTTTCTCTGAATTGTTTTTCGTTAGCAATGTTTGATTGTTGCGTACTGACATAAATTCAATTTCTCTCTATATACTACCTTCCCAACTTCTTACCTACAACAGTGTCCTACCTATCATGCGAAACACGTTCGTCTTTTTTACCTTTACTCCTGAAATAATATTTATACCTAAAATAATAAGTATCCACTTTCTCTTGTGTTTATTTTTTTATATTTTAAGTTAAATTAAATTTTGGTCAAATGTTCATGATTCTATATTGTTTTTATTTCTTAATGAATTATCAATTTTAGTGAAATTCCGAGGAATATTTTCTGATTTTAGAAATTCATAAATTGGGTACGTGGGGTTCAAAACGATTTTTTAATTGGATCTTAATACTAATCAAACTATTTCTGTAAAATTTAATTTTATCTAGGTTGTAACTATATTCTATTTTTGGTCTCCTTACCTTTAGCTTTGAGCTTAAAAAACATCTGTAGAATGTAGAAAATTAATTCATCTAATTTAGAGGGGCTAACTATTTTTTTTTCCAACCGGCCTGCCATGCTATGAATTAGTTTAAATGACAAAGCGTATCGGTTAGCTACTAAAATAAAAAGGTTGGAGATCTACTACAATTTTCAACAAAAATGTGAAATATTTTAAAATGTATCACGAAGAACACTAGCAGCCAGTCACATCATTTAACGTAACACATTTCTAGAGACCATCTTTGAAAGAAGGTTAATAGAAGAAAAAACAAAGGAAAACTGAAAACGACACGAAAAAGGACTTTCGTCCAAATGCTTACACAAATCAGAAACCAGAAGAGAGCAGCAAATAATAGAATGGATTGCTACATCAATAAGATCTAGTCTTCAGAGGTGATGAAAATTGTATGGGTTTGTTTATAAATTCATATTTTGGTATAAGTATACCTATATGTATTGTCGTATGCGCAAGATTCTTCCTTGGACGCATACGGCAGTAAGTATTCAAACGAATCCCAAAACCTTCGGTAATCAGCTTTACTAACCGAGCGGCTAAGAGAATATTATATCATTGTGCACATTGACATTCTAACACCGATTATCTACTCTCGATTGTGACCCCTTATCTAAACGACCACGATAACGAGTACTGGTAAGTTAGTTAAGGTCAGTCTACGCAAAGGCTTGACGTATGCAACAGACATTCTCGGTTTCCAATCCCCAGACCGTCAAACGAGTAAATATCCATACTTGTTGTAAAAAGGAACTAAAACAATCCGCTCTTTTGGTGACCATCACGATAACGAGTACCTACTGCAGAAAAGAATGGTTGATTAAAAACCCTCAGGATTTATAAAATATAACTTTAAAGTCGCTCTGCACTCGGAAAACTGATCACGGTGTCGAGTACTGGATGTTCGAGTTAGATCTATCTAACCCGGAATATAATTTACTATATCTTGTATCTTAACTGACCACGATAACAAGTACTGGACGTGATATATAACTATCTGACTACGTTGAGAAAGTAGTATATTGTCACAGACGTCTCAGTACGCCTCTAAAATAAAAATATTCTTATAAATAAATTTTAAAAGTAAAATAAAACGAGTATGAACATTGAACAAAGAAAAATAAGCACGGAAACAGTTTAAAATATATTGAAATTGACTTAGGTTTTAACAAAGCAATCGACAATCGCTGCGACTGCCGTTCTTCAAACCTCGTGAAAATTGACCCGCAGCCACGGGTCCACGCAGTCACCGTTGTCCTATATAGGTTGTCATTTTGTCATCTCGGCATATTTCTTTCTGGCCGTATTCTTAATGTATTCCAATTATAATTATAATTAATTATGCTTACTGTGCTTGAAACTATAGTCGCGTACACACAACAGTATATTTACACAAACTCTCTAATTTCAAACTTAAACGTCACAATGCGTGTACGGTCTATAAGCAACGTAATTTTGTTAAACATGTTACCCGTTTCGATTAGACCGAAACATTAAATGCGTACAATATATTTATATAGCGTGGTCTCGTTGGTATTTTTCGAATTTGTACTACGCTTCATTATTGTAACTCGGCAAATGCATAGGCAACCCTCTACACGGCTCCACGATTTTTAAATTGTCCATAACCGCGATAATGTATTCGACTGCAAAGTAGAATATAATGGGATTTTCTTTATCCATTTGAGCGTATGAATACAAATATATTATTATTATTATTATTATTATTTTTTTTTTTTTTTTAATATATTTTTACGAATACAATAACAATCGTATTTTACGCTATACACTGCAGTGGGTACGTAAGTACGTATACATGTATCTATAGTAATTATGCATATTACGTGTATCTGTTATATTATTAGTGATTCGGGTCGGAGAGGTATTTGTCCTCAACCGACACGCGATATAATAGTACACACCTAATACTAACACTTTTCTATTTTTTTAATCTAATGAACATATTATTTTATTCGACCTCAAACGCCATCTTCTGTATTCTGATGATGTGCGTTATACGCGCGCGACGACGATCGTATACAATATCTTTAAAAAAGAAAAAAAGAAATGAAAACAGGGTTTTGAATGCGTTTAGTTTTAAACATTAATCAAATCATAATACGTCGCTTGCACAAATTGTTTCATTGATTTAAAAAAATATATATTATATTATGCATAATATACAGTAATATAATGTTCTAGAAAAAAAATGAGGTTTTTTTTTTTTATTACACCCGGGAAAAAAATTAGTACTTTGATTGTATAATATTATTGCATTACCTTATTATTGTGTTATATATTGGTATAATTGCAATGCAAAATCCGTTTGTTTCGCTATTATAATAGTGTTTAATCTATTCGATTACCCACAGTATAATCTGCATGCGCCATGCATGTACCTATCATATTATTAGTTCAGCTGCTTTCCATATTTAATTATGAACATTTCGCGTATTATAATAATGCATATATGGGTTTATCGATGTAAAAAAAAAAAAAAAATCAAATATTACGTATGTATTACCATGTATATGTGTAATCTATATTATAATTAATGAATTCGGTTTCAGATAGTTTCGCGAGAAAAAAAATAAATATTTTTCGAAATATTAATTTTATACTTTTTTAATCGCATATTGTTTTAATCTTATTTTTTTTATCTCTTTATACTTAATTAATAAAAAAAAAAAAAAAAAAAAAATAAAAAATACAATAATAATAAATAAATTGATGATTCTGATAATTTGTTTTCTGTAGAAATTCCTTAGACAATATAATTAACATGAAATTTACGTCAGGATTATGTCAATGATATTATGTAATGAATTATAAAAAAATAAATATACATACAATAAATTATATATATATTTTTTTATTTCCACAAATTCCACAAAAATAAGTTAACACTAGTTAAACAATGCGTTTTAAATTTTCAAACTAAGTTTAAGTTGAATATAATTGTCGGTAATTACTAATGTAGTTTTCATTATATTTAGGTACTATCTGAACTTTTTACAATAAATACATTCCTAAAAAAATATCCTGTAATCGAGTTAACGTGTTCAAGGTTTAAATTTATTTTTCGTTACTTTTAACCGAAGTTTTTTCATTAAATTTTCTTTTAATTAGCATAATAACTTCTTAATGAAGTGTTGAATATTTTCGCATTACCTCGACCTTCATCACCATTATTTATTGGGCGGTATTATATAGTCGTAGCAGTATAGCATTTATAAAAATGATTCCTAAACCATCATTTAAAATGCATATAGCCGCCATAAAACTGTACCTGTGTTATTATGCGTGCAACAAATATTAAAAAGGAATATACCAATATTGAAATTTCAAACATACCGGGCCCGCCGTATTCAATTGTCGAATATTGTATACGGATACAATGATGATCGATTTGGTGCATACTATACATATACAATACAATTGGTATATTATTGTTTTTTTGATTTAACATTAACAAATTTAATGATATAAACAATAAAAAACACAATAATAATGGCAATGTATTAATGGACATTATTTGTATATTGTTTTTTTTTTTTTTGTTCATCAAAACTATTTTTTGTAATTTTATTATTACAATATACGCATATACATGATATACGGTTGGTTTACAATTTGAAATTAACGTTATTTTTTATATCTATACGCGTGTGTATTCTTATTATTTCGTAAAATTAGTACGCTTATAAATGCCCAATGAACATAATTATTTTATTGGTTAAACGTATACGTAAATCGTTCAGGCATTGATTCAGTATTTGTTATATGCGGGGTGAGTATTCTATCACGAATCAGAGATTACATATCTGTATGTACAACTATATGTATAATATACCAATACGTTAGGTTATAGTTCGAATATGTGCAGCAACAAATAAACAAATATGTAATATTTAATTTTAATTAATTTTTATCAATGTACCAAATAATATATAATATTTAATTTTAATACTTCTAGTTTTTGTTGTAATTTTGATTAATTTTTGTTAATATAATAATATGTTAAATATGTTTATAATATAAATTTATAGACGTCACAGATTTGCCCGAATAAAATTGGTCTCATTCAAGTAGGTTTGTACGGGCAAAAGCCGAAATATGACGTTAAAAAGAAAGAAGAGCTTGAACTGATTTTGGCGTTTTTTTTTTTTTATAATTTTTTCCATAATTCTATAACTTCCGTAGTTTGTGTGCACCTTTTTAATTTTAAAATTTGTTTTAATGTTTTTGGCTTAAGCCCTTTTCCCCCGAGACCGAATATACTGCCCTTATTCATATAATACCTATACATTTATATAGATGTATAATGCAAACCTTCTATTCATTAATTCGTGATAGCTGCTGTTTAATTATTAAAAAAAAAAAAAATGCTTTTTACGTTAGTAAAATATTCATTTTTACACTATTATAATTCGCCTCCTTTTATTAATTATTTACAACGATTAGTAATTATATTTTTTCCCGCTTAGTGCGGCTACTGTTATAATAATATTTTCTATCTATTAAATTGTATACATGAATAAGTACAGGGAATAAGTTAAAAGATATCACAACATACTTATAATTTAATTATATTAGTGTTTTAGAGTTCATATGGCACCTTTTATAGAACTGTTATCATATTAACGCAATTATATGCAATACTTGTACTTAGGTTTAGTTAACCTAACTGATTCACGAGAGTGCGAGTAATTATATACAGGGTCGTCGAATTTATATGCGTGAGACGAAATACGAATCATTCAAATATATATAATCCTTAATCGAATTTTAAAAGTAACCATCACTCGAATTTCCACTTTTTACAATAAATAATCAAAAATGTATATCTTCACATTAAAATTCGTATTTTTTTATCATTAACAAATATTTGTATATTTCATAATAAATATTTCGTAAAGCGATTAATGGCGAATCCATATACGATCACATAAAACTGTGAAGACTCTCTAAAATAAAAACGCGTGTATTTAGAATGTACTGTAGGGTTCTCATAGGGTATTATACTACACAAACGCCGTATACTCTCAATAGTTTCATGAAAATTCGCGGGTATACTCTCAATTATGAATAGATAAAACAAAAAAATTGTCACGATACATATTATTGTCATTGCTCTCTCATAAACCACTTTATACGCTACTAAAATCGAAATGGTAATAATTATTTCAGTGATTATAACCGAAAAATGGACTTTTTTTTGCGGGTTTATGGTACTTAAAAAAAAAAAAAATTTCGAATGTTCTTTTTTGTTAATTGTAATGTATTTTTCGTAAAATGTATATATTTTCTCGGAAAAAAAAAAAAAGTATAAACCATAATAAATGTGAAAAATACTTCATGTGCACGAGACACAACGTGTTATAGTGTACACTCCCCGCAGCAACGAAATTAATGGGAACACCACCGTGGACACTACAGTACATCATTATGTTTTAAATGTATTATATCTATATAACACATTTACAGTACACGATTTTATATTGATATTATAGGTACCGACGCGTATACAGGATAATATTATTTAACGTAATAAAATATACCTGTACGCACAGCATACGCATACACAGACGATACAGACACGTAGTGCTGAAGCCGTAAGAAAAAAAAAAAGCAGAGGGTGTATACTATAAGTCATAACCATATACCATCATTGAGTACAATAAGTGTCATGTCCGCGAGTGCATTGTCTAACCTGATGTTTTAGCAGAGGGGTATATAAATAGTGAATTAACTGATGTTTTCGCAATCGACCAAAAATGAAAATAAACAATGCCTATAGATATCATTTTATAATATATTTCGCGATTTCACTATAACAGAGAGTATATACGACCGTAACCAGAATGTATGCGGCGTTTACCCTCCACTACGGCCCTGCAGACACAAATAAATCCGTTTGAACGCAATTTTCCGCAATTATGTACCTATTTTCCTGATTCGTCATCACCTAGCCCGAACCTTTGGACGGACCGGGCTGAAATTCGGCTCACCGATGGCTATTATGACGTAGGCATTCGTTTAGAAATTATTTTTGAAAATGGGGATATCCCCTAATGGGGATAAAATAAAGAGTTTTTAGGTATATTTGGTACGGATTTCTAATTGCTTGTTTGTTTATTTTTGTTCACTCGAGGTTCACCTTGGTGTTACGGAAAAGACAAACTATTATAATTATTATTGTTGCTATTATTTGCACTGTAAACATTTCGCAAAAGAGCACATATGGCCCGCCGAAGGCGGACCATCCAACTTTACGCCTATTTGTTTTCATTCAATTCTGACACGACCATAACCAAAATCGAATACGAGTGGAATGATAACAGTGGAAAATTGGCACGCGGGCGCTGGACAGCTAGTATTATATATATATATATAAATGTACAGGGTGAGACTATATAGGTACTGAGCAGATCGCCGTTGACACGGTACGGTCGGTCGATTCGTTCCACACGAGCGCGCGAGAATTCGGATGGGTGACGGGCCGGCACCTATCGGACGTATAGGTATACGCGCGGACAATAGACGCGTGTAATCGGGCGCGCGCGCTCGCGGTATTGCCGCCACGGTACATAGACTTCGGCAGACGCGCTGCGGTTATTACCTGTGCACCGCCGGTAACCGCGGTATATTGTACCGCGGTGTTTATGCGATGTATTTTACGCGGACGCCGAACGCGCGGCAGGCGTTTTCGACGCGGCCCCGAATAAGTAACGCGAAACGGACTGTAGGGTTCTGCGCTGAATTGTCGATAATTTCATTCGTGTAATGTAAAAAAAAAAAAATAATAATGGTCATGTCACAGCCGCTAAAATTATAACGATTACGATAGTGGATTTCGTAAAATACACGGACGGCGAGCGATATAAAATACACGGGACACGGTGTAACGGTGGAAACTCGGCCGAATCGCCTATGTGCGTAGGGGCGGCAGTGTTCCGGGGGCTGCGAAATGTAGAAGCCAAAATATACGTGACGGATCACACGATATTGTGTACGCATTCGTGTGCTCTCCCGTCGGCAAGGTCGACTTTTGAAACACCCCCCCCACTCCCGTTTTTTTTCCCACTTGCCACGCGCACGTTTTCGGCGGTGTACCTATGCATAATATTATTCGCCGACTCACCTTTGCGTGTTCTTCCGGTAGTACGGGAACCGGTCGCTGATGAACTTGTAAATGTCGGACAGCGGCAGCATTTTTTCGGGCGCGCTCCATATGGCCATGGCCGTCAGCGATATGTAACTGTACGGCGGCTTTTGGTCGCCGTACGTCTCTCTGCACGGCCGCGGCATTCTCTCACGTGACCATTATTATCGTACACCGCGCGGTTATTACCTACGTCGCGGTCGCCACCGCCGTCGCGGTGTCTGTCGTCGTCGTCGCGCTTGCCGCCGGCGACGACATCATTCCGTGTGTTTATGTACAGTCGTTATATTGATGTATCACGATAACCAACGCCAACAGTAACGGATGTAGTATAGGTTATGACCAACGAAGAAAACGGATACCGACCCGCTGCGGCGCACTCGGCGTGGAAATTTTTTCTGTTATTATTATTATATTATCCGCTCGGTTTTAGATTAATATTACGTGTATTATTATAATATCGTCATAGGCATCGGCGGATACCTGTTTTCCGGGGATATTAATGCGTGCGCGTGCGCGTGTGTCATATTACGACGTTATAAACAATCGAAATAAATTTACTATCTACGTGTACATAGACTTATAGCTGGTATACGGTCCGTCGACAATTCGCGCGGAATAAGCGGGAAAAAAAAAAATAAATAATTATAATAATAAGAAAAAAACCGCTGATAAACGTAACGAAATAACAACGTTGTACATTCGGCGTGTTCGCGGAGAGTCGCGACACGGCGGCGGCGGTTTCGACGGCGTGCGATCGACACTGACCGGTTCGCGGTATACGGCCGGGACCGCCACTGCCGGCGCCGTCGCCGGCCTCTCCCCTCCACCCCGCGGTGACCAGTGGGCGTTCCGCGGTTCCGCGGCCCGCCGCCGTTGGTCGCCCGGCGGCCGTCCAGGGATCGCCCAGTGCTATTTTGTACACGCCCCGACCGCGGCCGCGCGGAGGGAGACTCTCGCGGCTGCCCGGATTTACGGGCACGCCGAAAATCCAATATCGTCCTGAACGCGATATTATAATATATTCCATACGCGTACGTATCCCGTCAACGCCCGCGCTACGCATGCGCCTCGTGTACACGCGCACTCGGGGAACCGCGCCGCATAAAAACGTAACGTTTCTGCGCGACCACCCGTTTTGCGCGCGTGACGACATCCGCACTGACGATTGTACGAATATGAATCGCGCGTGCACCGTAAGCCTTACTCGCAAATGAGTAATCAGTGGTCAAATTTTCGATTTAACTAATATTTTCAGACCGACACTTTTCATCGCTTTTAATTTTTAAAATTAAATATAAAATGAAAAAAAAAAAAAAACACGAAAATTAGTATCTAATTCTTTGTATGAGTATGCAATTTTCTGAAAATACCCGAACGAAATAATATACAACACCATTATATAATTATACTCATCAGCAGGACAATTTAATACTCCTAATAAGTTTGTCCCAGTCTACCAATTATTGAAATAGAACCACTATATACGCACATAACTACGTTGCGGCAATATCATTTTGAGCATACGCGTGTTTTATAGCGTTGTACGGGTACCTCCTAATAATTTTTTTTTTTTTTTATGTATTTACTCTGTATAAAATGTATACGGTCTTACGAGACGACATTCAAACGACTATAAAAAGAAATTATTATATTACCCACAGTCACATCGCCGACGAATCGTAAAAAATGAAACGCATATAACAATATATACCTATATAGATATAATAATATGATGCGTATTATATGTACATATTAGACACGAGTACCTACACATTATATATAATTGTGCTGCTCGGAAAAATAATGAGATTTTTTTCTTATCACCTGTAAGTATATATAAACGATTTTTGATTATATAGAACTCTTATATATTATTGTTTCTAACATTTTGTATACTACATATTACAAACTTGCTTGATTAATTGGGTTTTAAAATTATGTAGGTAATATACAAGTACAAGCAGTCCTGTTATTAATATATTTTCCAAAACGCTTGCTCTCGCTATAGCTACTTATGAATACCGTAGTCAGTAGTTGAAGTTGGAGGGGAGGAGAAGTCATCGATAGTTTAAATTTTCAAAGTCTGAAGGGACGCTTTAGTTATTGTTACTGTGGTGTTTTTGATGAAATTAAAAAAATAAAAAAAAACTCGAATTAGTTTCATTGAAAATAAATTCTTTATTGGCTAGTTTTGATTATGGGTATATTGTAGATTTGATTGCGTTGACATTTGTTTAAACAAAATCAAAATAGCCACGACTCGACGTGATCTGGGTATTTGTGTATGATGTTTTCGAATAGTTAGCTGTGATACGTATATATTATATTCGTATTTCTGAAACTTAAAATGCCGTTACAGTGGCATTTACCGTCTTTTTCCCGGATAATATTGTAGCAAGAATATCTCCACTAAAACGTCTAAAACAAACGAAAAGACCTTGAATATCGGTTAAGGAGATAAATCTCTTATTATTAAATTTGTAAATGACAGCATTTTGGAGACCATCAAGTTTTTGACCATCAAGGCTTTTTGCATTAATTTTCTAAACATTCGAATTGTCATCGATGGTACGAAAAATCGTTTAATTCTACATATTTCAATAATTATTGTGACCTTTTTTTATAATTTTAAAATTTCAGAAAACAACGAGTGATTGTCTAAGATTTGCTGTCATCTACAAATCGTACCGTTGATTTTTTATCTATGAAACCAGCTGTTTTAAAGGTCTTGTGACGACTTCTAAACAGCCAGGGATGGTCAAGATGTTTCAAAATGAATGTCTAGATACTATCGTTACTATAGATACATATATGTAACAATAATTCCAATATACGAGATACGAGATACTCACATTTGATGTACTTAAATACTAGATACTTGATATTCGATACTTACTTATAATGTTTTAATTACCACAAAACAGAAACAGTTGAAATTTTGTTGAGTTTTTATTTATGGCATTTTATATTTTTTTGTTACCTACTTAGAAATATTATTGAGTTATTAGATTTTCATATGATCTAAACATTTCAGTGGAATATAATATAATGAATGCATTTTTATTATATTTCTAAAATATTTCAATAACCTAGTCAAACAATATAATGACTGCATTGATAAGCATTAAAAATCGCATTCATATTATAATTACGTGACTTCAACTTAAAATGTGATACTCCATGTTCCCATGTTACATTCCTTGCATATGTATAGAATATGACATTGCACAATGGGTAGACAATCGATATTCGAAAAATGAATACAAATATTAATTGAATTGTTCACGCATGCAGTATCTTTAAAAATGCGTAGACTATGTACTTGAACGATATTTTCGAAATTCCTAACAGTTCCCGTTCCCCCAATTTTGTAAAATAACTTTTAATTTTTAGTGTATTTTTTGAATAGGCATGGAGAGAAAATGCCTCAACTCGCCCTCCCTTCGAGCGTTTATGAGCGAAATACTTTAGTTCGAGTACATCTAAATTTTCGATATTAGATACGTTGATTTTAATACTTATCACAATACGATGTAGGGTACTCGACACTTTCCAGAAATGAATCGTGATAACAAGATATGAGGTACAATTGTATCTAATAAGATGCTTAATTTTACTCCGTTAACAGCTGACATTATATAATATACTTTTAAAAACCATTATTGGGAAGTTTATTGTACGTCATTTTTTGAGGAAAATTGAGGCTCAGAATTAAAAAAAAAAAAAAAAAAAAACAGCCAAACATTTTTACATAGTTATTGACCATTCCGACATGCGGGTGATTGACCGCGCGGTTGCGGAGTGGAAAACGGTTAAAAAAAAAACAACTATATAGTTTACCTAATAAAAGTCGTGCACCCATTATTTTTTTAATATTTATAACCGAGCTAGTATAGGTATACTTTTGCATACTATTTATGGTGTATATATATAAATAATTATAAAGTATATATTATAATATATGTATAGTGTATATTATATACCTATATATATATATATAAATATCGCAACCATTACCCAGTTTTAATTATAATAACGTTCGATCTGGAAAATTATTTAGATTAAATTATTGACGGTATTACAATAGATATTATAATAGCAGATACTTATACCCACGATTGATTGCAATCTGCAAGTGGCGTAATTAAAAATTAAAAACAGTTATGATATAAGCCCGATACCGCTTACATACCACGCGTGTTTGTCCCGGGACAATACAATTTTTTTTTTTTTTTTTTTATCTATAATTGATATTTTTTCAAATTTGTTTTTAGAAATAATTAGACAAAAGATCACCGATAACACGCCGTATACAATAGTATTAACGTAATTGAGATAGGAAAGACCAGAATCGTGTTTAAATGTAAATTTTAAAAAAATCCTAATTTAATTTGCGTAGGTATAGTGCGAATCGAAAAACTCGGATTATGCGCAATGTTCGACCAAACATTTTTTGAAAAATCGAATATCATTTTTTTAATTTATGTATAACTACAAATTAAATTACTATAGTTCGTATTTTTAACGTAATTTTTTTTTTTATATATTATTACACAATTTGTATTCACATGTCGAATGTGGTTCGAACTATGTTAAACATATTTTTTTTACAAAAGCGAGACTTAACTTTTCCCAAATACCAACCTACTAAAGTAACCCGCTCACGGTGCAAATATGTCACAAATAAATTATCAAGTAGTTTACAACTTTCCCGCGAATTTTAGCTCCCTATAGGTATCTCATTCAGTCATTAAATCAGTGATTTATAACAGTTGTCGGTATTGATATTTTTCTAGGTTTTTTGTAGTAAAAGTGTTTCCGCGGAAAAGTGCATGAAATTCAAAAAGTATACGACCTTCTCGATGCAAACCAGCTATAGAAATAAAATAAGAAAATTATTGTTATTACTATTATTATCATAAGAAAACTCATAATGACATTTCCGATAAACTATAATTCAGAGCTGATGCCGATTTTCAGTTCATATAAAAAAATTATTAATGGTACGTGTACGTCATATAAATGACACTCCTTCTATCCTATCTTAATATTTACGTTTCTGTGTATCCCAACACTTTGCCCACTATGTTGTTTTATTTTTCCTCGCCAACTATGGTCTCCTCATCAACCGCCTATTGTGCCAGGCTTCACGACCACCCACACTGCAATGTTTTGTACTCCGAGTCTGTGAATTATTCAATCAAACATTTATTATTATTATTGTAACGCGTTATCAAATAAGCAATGTACTCTTGTCCGAATTTCCCGAACGGGCGTTAATTTCAGTTATAAATAAATAAATAATTAGACAAAATTTGCAGCCAGAATCAATCGTTTAATGACTAACGATTAGAACAAGATTTCCGGTAAAAAATTGTTTACTGCAGACACACACAAATAAAGCGCATACCGTAGTAAAATCAATACATTTCACGTTACCATTCATAATCTGAAAAAAATCAATTCGGAACAAATGTTTTAACGGATAGAAATAAAACCATACGAATACGCCGTGACTCGCTGTGAATTTAGTATTTTCGCCGTCATCGTAATTATCGTGAAACGTCGTAAAGAACGTTTATCATTATCTCTTCGGGTGTATATTATTTCACATGAACGCTGTATACAGTCATACTCTATGTCTTTTGTACGTAGGGAACACCCGTTTTAGTCGTCGATTACCTCACGTATAATCGTTTCATACGTGTTCTTGTAGGAATAGGTTTCAGCGGACACCTAGCGCAGCGGTTTTTTAATAATACACAATATTCTAGG